CCTTATAACTTTTTTCAGACTATTCAAAACAATATGGCGAAAGAAAGAACAGGACCTGTAATCAACATTTTACTAAGCTCCACCCTATGCAAACGTACGGAGGAGTGGATATTCTTAAACTCAGCACTCGATGGAAATGATTGGTCAGCTTCACGCCCCAGCTGCTTTGCCTCTGAGGAAATAAGGCCAGTACCCACAGCCGATCTGGAAGTCGTAGCGAAGAAAAAATTTCCCTGAAAGGAATCGAACCCGGGTTGTCCAGCTCGTGAGAGAAGTCTTCCCTTACTTCTTCCCAGAACTTATCTTTGTATAGTGCATCCACTGATAGTGTTACCAAGTTTCCTTATAATTATAAGAACTGTGTCTCGTACTTAATATTCCGCAGGCCAGACGTAGTTCCTGAGTCAGACTTCCATGGGCTGCACATTAAATGCAGCACTTACCTTTTTCTTATTCCAGTGCTCTTGAGACAAGAGTATCCAACCGTGGACACTTCGCACAGCTTCGAAACGTAAATAAACGTGTCACATAACTTCTCTCTGCTATACGCAAAACATCCAACAAACACAAAAATAAATTGCACACAACAATCACAAGTTGTCTTGGCAGCAGCTACGTTACCCCAGAACGAAACAATTCAAAGTAAGGCTACAAAGTCCCGTCGCTAGGTGCAGCAACAAGAAATGTGGAGGGACAAGAAACGATGCCGTGGGAGGAGCAGGAGGGATTAAAAGAGAAGGGGGAGAAGAATGTTTGGAGTCAACGGAACGAAAGAGCCAAGTTCAGGGTTAACCAGTGAGAGGGACGAACCCTGTCTGCGAACCTGGTAGCCAAATCCATGTTACCTGGCATTCCAGAGAGCTTGTTTCACCAACTAAATCCATGCTGCAGAGTCCTTGGGAATCCAACAGCATGCTCAACTAGTCAACATATTCCCCGACTTTTATGGAACAAGAAGATTCTTTATCGTGTTCACAACGGACTTTCACCGGTCCCTATCATGAGCCATATGAATCAGAAATCTCACTGGTATTTTATTTTGTTGACACTTTCTCAACTGCAAATGTTTCAGTAGCATCGAACGAGCGGATTGTGAATTACGTTGAAAGAACTGTACATACACTGCTTTAGATACTTTCACCAGGATTTCTGTTGGGACAGAGTAAAACCAAGAAAGAACGTTAAGGCGAGTTTTAGGCCGAGATTTTCCAAGGAATCTCCCTAACATAAAGCAGGTAACTAATCTTTACGCCAAAGATGGAGAAGAGTGCCATGACGAAGGACGGCATGGAAAAAAGTTCGAAGCGCTATCCGCACTGCGGCACTGGCTGAAGATGAATGGTCGGTCAACCTAATTCTCCAGTTGCCTTACGCACATGGAAGTAACCCTGGTAAGAGTAGGGTGGCTCCTAGAGCCTGTTTGGATGCAGTGGTGGCGAAAAAGAAATCCTACCACTGTCGCAGATCAAATCATACCCAACCCAAGTCGTCAGGCGCGTAGATCCCAAAGATTGGCAACCGATATTACGAAAGTCGGCCATTGAACAAGGCCACGAGCCAGTTGAATCCGTATTACACCCTCGCAACAAAATATTTTCCAGCTATAAATTTCCATATTATTCTCCCAAACTGGTCACTTTCCTCAGAGTTTCCCCGCAAGAATGTTGCACGCATGTCTTGTATCCGAGTCCATCGAAAAACCATAACTTACTGCCTGAACAACCAAGTGAAGCCATTGTACTGTACATGTATACAGAAGTGTGGAGCATCCACTAGCCACTTCTTCCCATTCTTGCCCTGGTGGAAAACAGACCTACGCCTGCTATCGTAACTGCATACTTCTACTATACATCAGAGGCTACACTACAGCGAATTAAAACACGTTATTCCACTCTACGTGACATGCACTTTATCAGCTCAGGGGACAAACCAGTAAACCTAAATGATCAGCTCCGTAACTTTGATGGAGGCCCTAGGGCTACCAATTTCTCAAACCTCTGCAAAATTTAATTTTTGAATATTGTAAACAGAGCTGCCCAAAATATTCCATTTATGTCTGAAACCATTACTTTACACGAAGCTGCAATCAGACGTTATTAAACGGAAGAAGACCTCCAAATATGAAGGTTAATTGGAAATACGCTGAACAAGGAACCGCGGTCAGGTCCTCACACAAGAAACAACATAGGGGGCTCCATGGCGTTATTTCGGTTCTCAGAACGAGCTCTGAGCACAAGAAAAATGCCAATATAGTCCTATGACTTATATAGTTATAGTTTATGTGTTGAGGGAAAACTTCTATTTGAAAGCATTTTATATGTGGTGAGTACTGACAAATCAAGTGACAAGAAATAAGTTTTATAACTTGTATTCAAATTCTCACATGTGCTACCCTCCATGTCGAGTTCTCATCTTCTGTTGATCATAAGCATCTCACTGTGAAGTTTTCTGCAGTGTCTTGTTGAGCTACTTCCTTCCTACTAGATCCAAATATTCTTCTCAACACGTCTTTCTCAAATTACATAATTCTTTTTTCTCGAGGATGAGAAATCAAGTTCCACACCCATAAACAACAACAACAGGTCAACTTAGAGTTTTGCATATTGTAATCTTTTACTGGTAAGAGACTGTGTACTAAATGCAAGGGAAACAATGTAGTTATAAGCAACATAATAATCCTACAATCTAATCTTAGATAAACGAACATCAAGACTTTGAACAGAAATATAACACTGCAGAGTATTCCAGACAGTAAAATGATTAGAAGACTGTGTCAATCTGAGGAAACCACGCCCTCATACTTCCGGTACTTGCGAAACAAAAGCGTCACACTATGCAAACAGCGCCTCGGAACCCCACGTGCAATTATAATGACACGGCATATCCTCAGGTATTGCGCAAGATTCAAGTCACTGTACGTCTGTTTCAGCGACATCGAGAAGGCATTCGTCTGTGTGCCAGCTTTATCATCTCTCGTCTCTTTCAAAAATACGAAAAGACAGAAACAGATAAAACTATGATTTTCCTAGTTGCTTTGTGTTGTTCTGAAAAGTGGAATCTTTAACACCAACTAACTAACTACCTCCGTGTAGCACAGCGTCCTTCCTGGGAAGTTAATAGTTGCTCAGTTAGCAACAAAATCTCTGCTTTTAATGACTGTCCATTACCATACTCACACCAGCCCGCCACTGGACCCTGACTTATACCAGATGAATACATTTCGTATCACATCTCATTGTCTGTACAATACATTTTAATATTTAACTCCCGTTTACGCATAGGCCTCGATGTTTCCCGACCAACATTTCTCGTCTCTCCTTAACGTGCTACGTGCCCGCCCATCTCGTTCTCCTTGATTTGATGAGAATAATAATGTTTGGTAAAAAGTATCAATTATGAGTTCTTCGTTATGCAGTTTTCTGCATTCTCCTGTTAATTCTTCTTCTCTTTCAGGTCCAAATGTTCTCCTCGTCACTTTGCTGTGTTCGATTTTTAACATTTGCAAACGTTCCATATAGCCTCCATCATCGCCCTGATGATGGAGGCAGCAGAAAGCTTCTGAGAGCTGCGTGTAGGCCTACAATCTTCTTTAGCTACCATCACACATGTCTGTGCGACCCCTGGAAGCATGGTCGTCACACTGAATTGTACAAAACGCGCTCCCAGGCAATAAGAACTCAACAAAACTCAGGCTGCTAAGGAGAAAATTCACTTCCGGCAAGCTGCAGTGTAATTTCTCTCTTCATTGTTTTGGTACGTTACAGATAAGAGACAGCTCGATACAAGAATGAAATTGTAGAACTCGAGTTCACACAATAAGACAGCGTACAAAAAGTTCTTCAGTAAAACTTTCAGTGCCATTCAGCACTAACAGATTGAGAAGATGATTATTCCATATAGTACAGCATTTTCCTTGAGCGCTTCATAGTTATTCACATAGTCAGGATATTTCATCTTGTTATAACGCACAAAAGTTTATCGTTATGTTCACGAAAGTTCGCTATTAAACCCTGTCCTCATCCGCCTGTGATGCTCTTCACTGTGTAATCTGGAGGAAATATAAACCTCTCAAATATCCGTCTCTGATCTCTGAACAGAGTTGATTACGGCTGATTGATCAGGTGTGGCTTACTATTTAATGGCATTGTAGTAATAAGTTGAGAACATTTTTTGTGTGAAATGGAGAGTTAGCGGGTGCGACCTACTTTAAAATACCGTCCTGACAGATTCCTAATGGAATTGCAGTAGGAATACATGGAAAGTCCTATAAGATCTAAGGTTTTAACAGAAATGTCCGTTTATATCTCGGTCTTTTGAATTTCTGTGCCGTGTAGCTTTTGGCCGAGTATATAGTTGTACACGGTGCATATTACTTTCCTGCTAAATTAAGAGCAGTTCATTTATCGTCAAATTGCTTACCGTATTTTCTCATTCTCGAAAAACTGCATCAAGATTACTGGACTTACAAGTACATTTTGCGTCATTTTCCACATTACGTAGCAGCAGACACAGAGATGAGATGCATGTAATCTCTGTATCCCTCCGCCATGAATTGGTCGTGCCAACTGAACCTTTTAATCTGTACAGCCTGTGTTACATAAAAATACAAACACTTCAAACTGAACCCTCTTAAACTACATTCTATTTTTCCCTCTTAATGTTGAACAAACTGGATACAAAAGCTTCTCTCAGCATCCATCTTGAATTCTGCTTGAGTACAAAGCAACCATAACCTGGGTTTTCAACTTGGCCATAACCAAAATTTCGCGTCCTGACGGCTATTACAACAAAAATTCTGTTGCATGTCACGACATTGCAATTATCATACCGGCCTGGGGTTGACTGGCATTATAAGATAGAATAAATGCAGTGGAGTACCGATTTGCTGCAAGTATCCCGCTCATCCTCCTACGGATGGGCCCCCAACCACCAAGTGTTCAGTCGGCACTATTTAGTTGTGTTGGTGAACTTGGTAATCAATGCTGTTTAGTTTTACTTACGTTTTGCGGGTTGCATCTGCAGCCAAATTCTGACCACGAATCCTGCCTGGGATAAACACTACTATTTTACCTTCACGAGCAAGTCTTCCACATCACAAACAATAACACACCGATGTGACCACAAGAAAACTGCCACTAAACACTTTATGCTCCAACATATCGGTAATTACAATTGTAAATACAGTGTCCGTCTGTCTAAGGAGTTGTTTGGTTCCTTGAAAATTCCTAAGGCGCCATTTCTCTTCATATGCACGTACTACCACAGACACCGTCAGACTGACTGCAACGCAAAACACAGCGCTGTTATAACACGCAGTTCAAACTCGCCCTAGTAGACATACTAGCGATTTTAATGGCGAGTGAACTGAAACACACGAGATCCAAGACTTAACTGCCTCCCTCCGCTACAGTGTGCTACACAATGATATGTCGACACGTATTGTGCATTAAGTTGAAAGATCTAGACAAACAAACTGGGACATTAACACCCCATTTTCTTGATTTCAAACCGGATTTGTCCTGCTTTATTTTGCACTGTACTACAGAGTTTTGTGAAGCAGTGGATAATTTTATTGATGGAGGAAATTTTATACAGTAGAAAACTGTTACTGTTAATCCAATTTCAGATAACCATTTACTAACACTTCTCTTGATTCAACAACAAGATATATAATCATTACTATGCTATGATTAACCATTCAAAGCCTTAGCCTTAGCAAGATCACAAAAGAATCCTGATACACCACTTCTGTTACTGAATGACTGTAACGCTTGAGCTATGTTAGACTGATTGTGATTTCAGAGACTTTCATAATTTGAAATCCAAACCTCTTCCTCTTAATGAGAATAAGTATCGAGTAGCCCACACGAATACATTTATGTGATAATGTGATAATTAGGTTTGTGGAGCACATTAAAACAGCTGCAACTTTTTGACACATATTTTAAAGATCTTCACAAGATCGGTAAAAAAAATCATATTCCTCATTGTTACGAAATAAAATCTTTCAACGATGGCTAATATCCATTCTATGTTAAAATAAGTAAATGTACATTAACGATTGTCTTTTCGGGTCCACTGTCTCACCGAAAAGTACGTGTTAGGAAACTATCCAGCCTCAGCCTCCTATCCAAAGGGTACTGAAGTTCTTTCTCGTTGGAGGGGAGGGGGTAAAGCGCGGCCAGGGCGTGACGCTGACCACACACCCCTATCTTGTACCGAGGTTAAGAATGAGTAGGAGCTATACCATCTCTTTCCACAAGCGCCTACATGGCGTATAGTAGGACATCATTCCTTTTCCGTTCGTGTATTGCTCTAGACTTTCTCTTGTGTAGAAACAGAACCTTGTTTTTAAACAGATGACACTGTATGTTGTCATTAGCCCGAGCTACCGTTCTCACTTAGGGTCCGTAAAATAACTTGTGCATACTGTAATTTAATTGTCTCTGATGGCCAAGTTTTACATCTAAGCCTACATGATATTCTCGGATTGAACACTCCATCCACATCTTTCAGTTCAGTCGGAAATCGAGTTCTTTGTTAATTCTTTATGTCGCAGTGGGAGATAAATGCAGCCTTCTTGAAGGTGAACCAGGCTTTAAATACTGTATATCCTTTAAAGAGTTGCTTATTTGAAGGATATTTCTCAAATAACATCTCTCGAACTTCTTGTAGATTGCCAAAACGTCGCAAAAGCCGGTCTCGGACCTCCCGATACTGTATATGGGTTAGCAGGGCCGTCCGTCTGACCTGCACGCGCCGTTATAGTGACCCGAAAACCAGCCAGAAAATTCAAGACCAATTCCTTATATGGGTAGATGCATTACACAGTGCAATTATGATACTGCTAACGATTCTATTATTGATAGGATCAGTAACTAGTTTAAAGTCGACTCATCTGCATTGGCTATTCGCGGCTGTCAATACATTAATGTAACCTGAGAAGAAAACTTCAACAAACTCAACTGAAGTTCCAGCAGGTGCAGTTCTTCCGCTCAACATGTAATGGTTTTATCACCGCTACACGAATTCCAGAAACTCGTTTGTGGAAACTGAAGGCACAAAGAGGATTTCAGGTAAGCACAAAGATTTCTACTTCAGTACCATGCATCAAATGATGTTGGTTTCCTTCTCTTCATCTAAAACGTTTGCATGGCCGGCCAATTGTTGAAACCAAGGTTTCGGAGAAACATATCGCCTTCATCATCAGGCAACATTTTACTCCTAATGTTGTCTCTGCCTACAGTCAAATACCGACATCTTGACCACCGTGAGATCTTGAAATCTCACATCAAAATGCTGTTCAAAGCTAAATGCTGCCATGGTAACATTTTGTTTGAGAACCACTGGTTCAAATAATGTTGTATGGGTTACCTTAATAAAGATCTTTGTGTGGATAAAATAATAAAAATATCACTGAAGGGGAAAACAGACATTTCCATCTTGTGACGCGTGTTTTCATGCAGGCATGGTTCATAAAGCCGGTTTCTCGGTTCAGGACCTTCACTTCGCGCGTCACTGAACAAATGAACAGCTAATGGACCAGAAGGGAGTAGCCTGACCGCGTTTGCGTGAAACATTTTATTGACTCTACGCTGTATTCAGGGCCTATCTGGTGACTACTTTTGGTGCGTTCAAAAATAATATATAAGCAATAAATTAAAATTTTTATTAAGTCAGCAGTTTAATGGTTGCAGTACTTTTATATGAAAGTGAAATATATATTTAAAAAAATACATTCTTAGCGTCACTGGATGTACAAAATTGTACAAAACTGAACACGGAGGTGTACAAAAGAAAATTTTATATAATAAAACAGAAACAACCACCCATGAAAAATGTCTGCATACTTTAACAGAATGGACAAAACAGGCTTTCAAAACTTCAAAACCAGTTATATAGATGCATTAAAAAGATGAATGCAAAAACAGGCTTGAGTCAATTCATGGAAGGTAGCAAATTATCCTTCATCTACATTGGCATGACTTCCTCTATAACAAATCAGTACTCGGTCTCTTTAGGATCTGAAGGAATGTATGTAACACTTTGTGTACATTATACTACAGAACTTTTATCATATAAAACAGTACATGGCTACCAGCCAGACATTAACTACAGCATTAATGGTTTAGGAATATACTACTGTGATCCATAGCCAACTGGAACACATGTAAGCTATGATACGCTTCCAATAAATAATAAACATATCTCTTCAGGGACAACACCTACAGATTCCTAACGTATAAACTGCATAATTTTGTCATTATTTCAGTTCAAAGCTCTCTTCAGGCGCTGCCTTCACTCAGCTGTGGATTAAGGAATGAAAATCCTTTCATATAAAAGGAATTTAAAAGAATGATATTTACAGGCAAATAAACAATCAATAAATATCTTCCCTCTGATGAAAATTAAATTACTTGTCCTTTACTTTCATTATTATCAGTTACATTAATAATCCGGCTTCATTAGTCTTTGGGACTTTACTTCTTACTTCCAGAGCTATTCTAAGTACTTTAATTACATCATTTGAACAATACATCTAAATCACTATAATGTTCATTCTTTAAGCATCTTAAAACTCACAATTGCTCTTTGATTATATCATTTTCTCCTTATTTTCCTTGTGATGCTTCTTAAAAATTTCATACACTTTTATCTTTCTGTCTGTGTTTCAGGTCCACACATTAGTACTGGGTAATAATATTTGTAATTTACATTGTCTTCAGGCCTCAACATTCCAAGGCTGTGATAAAGTTTTTAACTTGATTGTCTTCCTCTACAGAACCCTCCCCCCTTTTCTGATCTTCCCTGTGTTGTTAATTTCACCACCTATAAATATATATATTTTAATGTCTTTTACATCTTGATTTTTACATATAAAACACTTTCTAATTTATTGCACAGGGTAAAATGATATGTAAAATATATAAAGCTATAAGATGTGTACATGTTTAGCTTACATATATGGCTGCAGGCAATCAGCTCATCTGTGGTCAACAAGCAGCAGGCAGGTATTCGTTCCCATAGTAAGTCATACAGACTAGACATAACACCCCACTAGCCACTTTGGCTTTCTGAATAACAGAACATGTATCGCATAAGAGGAATTTAAAAGATTAACTTTCAACACTTACATAATCTATGATGTATATATAGCATCTTAAAACCAATAAACAAGTAATATATGGCCCTATTTTGATAAAACTCAAATTATGAACAAAACAAATTGGATAGGATGCATAACAAACATGTACATCAATCCTTCCAAGTTCACTTGACAACTATACGTACCATCTGTTTAAACAGCCTCTAATTATTAATTTTATCAATGGAGTATATTTATAGATTTTATATGATCTCCCAGAATAAATGGTGATTATTTCCTTAAACAGCAGAACTACTTAAACTTTGTTATAGAAGTGCTATATTTCTATGCAATAGAAAATAAATTTGTAATTATTTTCAAATGAGCTTAAACTTCAGAGGGTTAAACTAAATAACAAAATCCCACCAGAAAGCCAGTCAGCCAGCTTTCTGAGCATAACTATCATGTTGATGTCCGAATGGGGCGTTTGTTGTATATTCCATTTACATCATCACTATCATCTGGAGTACTGAGATCAGGTGGGTCAACAAATCCCGAGTCATCATAGTGGGGGGTTCGAGAACCCCCAGGACTAGGACCCAGCATCATAGGTGTCCTTGTACCACCAACAGGAGGACTGTTTCGCAGCAGCAGTGGATCATCATAGCGTCGTGACACCAATGTGAAGTCACGATGTGCATGAACCAGTTTCTGTAGACGTGCAATAAGTTCATAGTCTGGCAGGTTCCCATCCGTACCCAGCAGCTTACCAACTGATGTACGGAAACTCAGCAGCTAAGGAGGGAAACCAATATTACACAGCCACATGTTTTCCAGATTTATTCCTTGTGATTTTGCACACCTCAATGTCTTTCATCTTCATTTATTCCACATATAAATGTATTGTTCTAAAGTTGTCCACACTACAGACATCACAATACACAGGGAGCCATAACTTATATTCCTAGTTCAATAATGTAGCCAAACATCCACCACATCAAAAAAGTTTCAAATAGAGGTTATAATTTTCCCCAACAATGTTTTATGCCCCAATACCAAATTTCACTGACATCCATTCAAACGTTTTGGAGATGATATGTAAATTGATGGATGTGACCTGTCCATTCATTGCTGACTTTATGTGTTCTGTGCAAAGCATGCATAAAATGATAAAAAGGATGGACCTGTTTAGTTAAGAGGTCACACTGGACCAAAGTGGAACTAAATAACATTTGCTTTACAAGTTTTATTGTATACTCCTAACACAAAATTTAATCAAAATGTGTTAAGGCCGTCTCAAAATGAAACTTGTACAGCTAGACACTACCTCTCCATTATGCACTCTTAGCACATTCAAAACAAGCAATTTATCAACAAGATACTGAAATGGAAAATCTCATTAAAGAAGCAACTTTAGATCCATTTGTTTTGTTGCACTATCACACAAGCAAACATAAATACAACTTACAGCATTCTCCCTGCGCTGACAGTCAGACAAAGTCTGCTTCACACTTCCCAGTTCATCCCGCAGCAACTGTACTGAATGGTCATTCAGAGAACGTTCCTGTTCTACTGTCTGGCTTGTCGTTCGCACCTGTGCAGTAACACAAAATGAATACTTTTTATACCTGAAAACACTTTAATAGGTATACAAAGACTCTTAAGTCCTAATTATTAGCAGGCAAATTTTCTTAGTCACAAACTGTACAATTTAATGACATGCACATTTAATGCACGGGTCTATTCACAGAAACATCAAGTCCTTGAATGTACCTTCTAGAATCAGCCCTGTGGAATTTTTTTTGTACAGTACACAGTAATCTTCAAGCAATTAATGAACATTCAGTTGATCAAGAAATCCCCTGTTGTCTTAGAACCAGTACATTGTTCACAAAAAACCAACCACTAAAGTATTTAAATAAACTGATAACAGAGGAGATGAGCCTTTAAATTCACACACAAACACAAAAAGCATACTTTGACTGAAATAGCTGTAATATCTATCAATTTTTTTCAACTTAATTCACATTTTATAGGAAAGTCTTGTAATATCTGCAAAACATGAGGATGTAATTTACATCACCTTAGTATTTCAGATTGGTACGGTGGTAATCCTAGAAGCACTTAGAATAAGGACCAACATTCCCATTAGCATATAAACACTCCGAGAACTATGATGTTTCATTCACTATCACTAGTTGCCAAAGCTGCATTGCATATCTTATGAATTTTTCTGTATAATGATTGGTCTCAGTCGCTACATCTCAGAAAATAAATAATTTAAAAATAGTTTAAAAAAAGGAAGCAAAAGTTAAAAAGTGTCCAGTGTCTTTTGGTGCATGCTACAGCCAAAACCTACTAGAGAAAATTCCTATCTGGAGGGAGAGAGAGACTGAAATCTCAGTCACTATCACCAATGTCTGCATCTTCATTATCATCAATGTTTACCAACACAGAATGTTCACTGTCACTGTCTGAATTCACTAAAATTTGTTTTAAATCAATTATACCTACACTTTCAACCAATAAATGTTACTGGATTTCTGGACCTTGTACATCATCTTGTATTTCAGGCAGGACACAATGTTTTTGAAAGTGGATGTTTCCAGTCTCAGGAGGAAAGGCAGGGAGTACTTATTAAGGACTGTCAGAAAGAGCTATCTCAGCTGTAGAGTCAGTCAGCAGTTGTTCAGATATCCTTTGCTCTGTCAGAAAGCGTCTGTTCTTCTTCAGACTGACTATATGAATCAAGATCAGAGTGTGGTAATATAATATTCTCATCAACTTACCTGATCTTTGAGCAGAGCCACTTTGCGGTTGTATCGAGTTCTTAGCATTTCAGACTCCACAAGCCTCTTCTGGAGTTCCTCCACTTTGCGTCCCCGTTCCAGTGCAGATATCTGCGACATGAGTCATGACAACAAAACAGCATGCAAAATTTCTAACAACTAATATAATGGCATAAATAATACAAATGACTTCTGATAGAGATGATTTTTGAGGATAAAATATAATCATCCTGCAATCTCTTCAGATAGAACCAACAGCGTAAGTACCTAGTGATATTTATGAAACGTTTTTGCTGACTGAAAGCTAACATGTACAAACCTCATTTGTTTTAAAAATCATGTTGCCAATAATGACACCAAACATCATGTAGTTTAGATACTTTGAAATAGTCATATACAGTTTGGGGCAACAAATTATTTCTTTGATACAGATAATATAGCATCTCATCATGATTGCAAATTTGCTCAAATAAAAAGGAATGAACATTCTAAAAAAGGAGATCTGAGGGCCTCATGGTGGTGAAGATGTCGATGTTATTTTTCTGGGTTGTGATGCCATGTGGAATCACAGGTAGGTATCTACCTACAAGTCCACACAACACCACAACCCAGAAGATTATCAGCATCTAAAAACATCTATAACAGTATTGAATATTACAATTTTATCAGACACCTCATTCTACAAATGATCAACTAAGTTACTACAAAAATTAACATATTTAGATACAGCCAACCTTGGTCATTCAAGTGCTTTACATTAATGCTGAACTTTATCTCGACTTAAACACATTTACAGTTTACTCAATTAAGGAAAATTAAGTTTTCTGCAGTATTCTTTTATAATGGCACTTTTTAGAAGAGTTATCACTTCTGCATATACATAATCATCTGTAAGCAACATTTTGCATATTAGGTGCTCTGTGGATGGACCTGATGTAATAGTTGGCTTTCTTGGTGTGTGTTCAGAAATACTACACAAGGAGGAAAGATATGTGGAAGAAATCCCAATGCCTAATTAAAGAAACAGAGTTACAGCTATACAGTCATTATAAGTAGCACACAGGACATGTCACCATCAAATTTAGGTGGTAGTTAAAAGAGAGAGAGAGAGAGAGAGAGAGAGAGAGAGAAGAGGGTAATGCTATCCTACTATGTGTCATCTAGACACTCGGGGAAAGAGGAACTCCTACTCATTTTCAGCCTCAGCACTAGAAGGGAATGAGTCGTCAGTGCTACGCCCCGGCCACACTTTACACCTGCGGAAAAGACCCCTGGTACCTGTTGGATAGGAGGCTGGATGGGCCCCAGGTCAGGCTGAATTATTAACCAAATTAACTTTCAAGCTTTGGTTTAAATTTAATTTGTTGCAGTCATGAGTAATAATTGCTGTAAAGCCACTTCATATACATTAACCAGCCAGCCATAAATCTCAATCCACAGCCTGGCTATCCTGATGGATGCTTTTCATGATTTTACTCAATTCATCTAAGAACATGCTGGGTTACCACCTTAAAATAAGCTATGATCACTTCAATCCATATAATCTGCAATTCATTATTCAATAGTCCTGCCACTCAACGGTATATACCCTGTGCAGTTGATAAATAATAAATAGTCCATGGATAATATAACAAGGGTGTTACCTTGTAGTCAGATGCATCTGCTAGCTGTGTTTTCAGGTCCCGAGAATGTGCTTTAACTTCGGCCAACTGAAGCTGCAATCTGTCCACCTGTTTCAGCAACTTCTTTACTCTGAAACACAACCAAGAACCTTGCATCATTATACTATAGTCTAAATTAGCAAGGCTTTACTGTATTGTTATAACTATGTCTCCATTGTATGTATTCGGCTTTTCAGTGACAGTTGCATTAGATATTTGGTGTTAATCAACGTTTTGGCAAAAATTGCAGTTATCATTTTCAAGGTGGATCTAAGATGTCTCCATTGTATACTAAAAGAGAACAAGGAACATATATTTACAGTATCACTGTTCTATACATCAACAATGGTGTCAATAAGGAAGTAATCCTGTTACAAACATAGAGATAGCATGGTAAGTGAGCAAGATATCTGTACCATCTATAGGCATATTCAACCAACCTCAGGTTTGCTTCATCCCTCTCAGTCTCCAGCAGACTTCGTATTCTACCATTATCCTCCTGTAATGACAGTTTCCTGCGTAACAAATCCAAGTGCAGATCTCTCCTCTGCAGCTGTTCTCTCAGTGTCCGTACCCGCCGCTGAAGCTGGTATACAGCAGATGTCTGCACAGGAAAAGATTGTAGGAACTGGCATGGCTACACTGACAAATGGCTATCCATTCTCAATTTTGTTAATACCAAAGCTTCTAGTGGACACTATCCTGAACCACTTTAGCCTTCACAAAATATGTACATATTTTTCCCTCAATCTGAGCTATATGCCCTGTTCATTATAACCTAACTGATTTCACTCTCTAAACAAGGTTTTTCATTATGTAATATTCCCTACTTACTTTATATCCCTTTGTTATAGACACTTTCCTTGCAGACTTTTGCAATGCTATCCTTATCACAGCCATTTGGCCACCTATCATGGAGTGTATACCCACTGTAAACCTACCATACCTCTACATAATTTTGGACCTATTATATAATTTGTGTACTGATTTACTTGCATCAGTATTTTTGATTGCTACTAAGTTTAACCCACTTCACCATGTGGTGATTTGCACTCCTGCCTTGTATTTGTGAAATCCCAGGTTTCAATCTCAGTCCAGAAAATGAATATCTTAAAGAAGACTAAGTTTTCCTCAGTCCCTCCAAGGAAATTAATGACATATCCTTTCAGTCATCACATATAAGCTGTTAAAGAAACAAATATAGATACCAATCAATCACTTCTCCCATCAAACTTCCTCACAAAGTGTATTTTGAAGTGGAAGTGTGCAAAACACATTTCAGATTAATTCAGATAAAGTATTTGTGAGAATCAGTGATGAAGACTGATAATACTGACAGAGATAAGTTAACAAATAGATATGGATCTACGAAAGTGTCTTATTGTGAATGAAAGTAGAGGAAAAATAACATGCAACAAAGTCTTATTTATGTAGCATAAAACTTCAGGAAAAGTCACTATTTGGAAACATTACTGGAATTGTATCCAGATTGTCTCTCCAAGCAGCTATTGCTTTGCTGCTTTAGCCTAATTACAGGGCAATTACAAATATGAAGAAATGTATTGTTTCAGAAGGACAAAAGAGAAAAATATTTTATGAATGAAAACAAACTGTTATAACATATTCAGATGTGGCTGTTCTTTTATCACACTTCACCTGCAGTCCAGTAATTTTGTTTTTGTCAATGAGGTAAGCATATGCAACCACATTTTGTTCAACAGTTACAAATATCAGAACTTCATAAACATGTACTTTTTGAAATACTATCTATTCTCTACAGTACTATAAAAGCTACCTATGGACAGAGAAGTACAACATTAACTGAGCAGATAGGCATAACTATAATGTTCTAGCTTTTTATTATAATATACACCCAGTCTAAATTGAAACTGGGTTACCTGCTATCTTCAACAAGGTTCTTCACGTTCATTTTCTCAGTTTCTCTGAGTGAATACCAAGAGACAGACTATGATTGCCCCTCTTTCAGATCATACCAACTCACCGTACATAATCATTTCCTGGTAATATTTAATGGTGCAAAACCTCTGCACATGAAGTAGTATAAGAATTAAATATCAATAAGTCATTCACCTACGACATAAAATATAGTAACAAACACTAAATCCTAATATACACCAGAAATTTAACAAACAAAACGTTTCATTGGCAGTTTGTGATTGCAGACCTGAATATATTAAAAATACTTAATACAAATGCACACAGACAATATACAGGAAGATCTCCTTGTAGTAGTAGAGCAGCCAGAGAGCAAGCCTCCAAGCAGTAGAATGCTTGGAGCCTTACTACAATATCTGTAATACAACTTCATAGCATGGTACTTAAAAGACAGTGATAATATTATTTTATGTTACAGATGCAGCAGAAGTCTCTTGCAGGATTGACTAATCCTGCAAACAAACAAGCGTGTGCAAAGTGTCACTAGTCTATTCGGTGGCACTGATGAAAAAACTAATGTGGTGCTTACTTCTCGCAGAGGAAGCTCATGGAAGGAATGTTCCCGTCGCAACTGCGGGAATGTCCGATAGGTCCACCAGGACTGGGCATAGTAACACAACAGAAATGAACATTGAGACACAAAAATAATTGTGTAATAATTGAAACTCACTGTAGCAGAATGGTCCAGCATCATACGTCACTAACTCTTGTCCTATAGAAATCTAGGATTTCTCTTTGGAAGGCATTTTGAAAAATAAATTAACCCTCTTCCTGTCAGAGCTCCAGCTGAGGCAGGTTCTCTAGACTTATCACAATTCCAAGTGACTGATGTTTAGAGGTCACTTTACCATGGCATGTAATTAGTGTGTTATGAAATGGCACTACAATGCAATACCTTTACTTTTTAACACTTTCTGCTTATCTAGGGAACAGGTCTTTGTATTATTATATTTTTAAAAACAGCTTGGCACATACTGCACAGCTTGCAGGAGTACATCTGGCAGTAACAAAAAACCAGGAGTGGGAAGTTGGACAGCTATTCACTCTACACAGAGTAAGAAATTATATTTCTTTGTGTTTGATTATTCACCATATAAAAATTGTTTAAGATATCAGTTGTAGATCTTAATGAGCTCCATATTTTAAGTTATGTATGAAAGTTTTAGATGATCCACCACTTCTGAACAAATTAATAAAGTTGATTTGAGCCTCACAGAAGCAGGGCTACGTTTCAGAGAAATTAACCAAAATAAAAATTCTCTCACAAACTTTTACTAGACATCCAATACCAAATTTAATCCAGAGATGAGACATGCATACATGACCACATTATTCACTTTCTGCAAATACTGCATGAAAACTACATTGTTAAAACAAATTTGCAAATCAGCCTTCCTGTTGACACTAATTACATTAGGTCAGAAAAAACAATTCTCATTACAGTTGTTAGAGGATAACAGAAGGGGCCATGAAGCCATTAGTCCACTCAAGTATGGCCCAAATGTGATTAATATTTGTTCCTGAACTTCGTGAGGAAATACGTTCATATCAGGCACAAATATACTTCAGATGGTGAAGCTGGGTTCAGTAAATGACCAAGAATTGAGAATGAAGCACACAGAGGAACCAAACTCTCTGCTCTTGTGGTTAGACCATGCTGTCATAATATCAAGAATGCTAAGGGAAATCAAGTAACAAAATATTTTCTTGCAACACTGATTGAAGGAAACAAATGTTGAGCTCTGACTTCCAATTTCTTTACACAAAGAAACAACAAAGAGGTTATATCAAACATCAAAAACTTTGAAATCCAGCTTTACCTTGTCAATCAACTTATCACTCTCCAGTCTTGCCAGCTGTTCAGCACGAATTAGGAGTGATTCAGTATGGAGATCCACTCCTATTTCTTTTGATATCTCTTCCATGTTGAAGGCTCTGCCCAGGCGCTCCAAGAAAGTCATGAACTGGGGATAGAAAAACACTGACTGACTTATTTCATTTCAATTCAGACAATTATACAGTAACTTGTACTTAGGTTTAACTCCCAGTTATATATGAGTCTCTCATGATTTTCATTGGTCCCAAAGGAGAAATGCCAGGATAATTCCTTAAAATAGGCCATGGCAGTGTCCAGTCATTAATTTTAGTTTAATGTGCATAATCATCTGTTCATCTCATTTAACTGCTGAAAACCTTTTAAGATAACACATCATTAAATGCTCTATAAGCAAATTATATATCTGCATGCTGCTACATTTCTTCATTATTTTGCTCTCAGACACCCTCAACTCATGTTCTTCATACAATCTGAAAGCTTGAAAGATATTTCAGTTGTAACTGACTGTTATTTGTTAATGGTATATCAGTATACACTCAGTACACACAAGACATTTTGAAACAACTAAAGGTTGAATCAGTATTCAAACAGATTTATCATGTCAACAGAATCAGACAGGCAGACAAAATTAGTGAAATACAAGAACAAGGAACCAAAAGACTATTAGACAGTTAATCAGACCAGAGCAATAGAATAAGTGGCCCACTATTCTCATTTTTTGGTTATAAGAGATTTTAGGTTTTCACAGCAGTGAAAATAAGGACTGTGGTCTTCTAGGTTATCACATCATCTAGCGTTCTAGATGGTTACTAATATTTTAGAGGAACATATAACCTTAATATCCGTCTTCTTCCTCTGCAAGACTGCATTGTCCCATAACCAAACAGCCCTCAGATTTAGGACATTTAGCAATGCTGTTTCAACTTAATAAATTATACAGTATCAAATGAGATATGAAGATGATCACAAGTAGCAAATACGAAAGGTGTGGAAGGAAGTGGCCATAGCCTATTTGATGATATTAGCTTGACATTAGCCTGAAAAAACTTTGAAATTCACAAAAAGCCTAATTCAGAATAGCCTTTAATTTGACTGTGATTTGAACTGACTACCTCCTATACACAAATTCAGAGCATTACTGTTACACAAACCTGCTCTGTGACTTACACTGATGATGATCATGACACCCCAGATTGGACAAAGGCATACTCACAGTGGTCTTGTCTCGCCTCAACCCATCTCTTGATATTTCGGTTGCATTCAAATCTCTTTCTGTCTTGTGCAACTGAGACTCCAACAGGGTCTTTTCATCCTGAAAGGCACGTGCACGTGATGTGGCCTGCTCCTGAAGCTCACAGTGGCGATTTAATTTTTGTGTCAGTACTGCTACTTTTTCCTGGAGACTTCCAACTTGCTGGAAACATCACAGACAACAGCCCAAATTCTTCTATCACATTCAAACATTTATTTGATAACTTCATATTAATTTGGTTCTTCTAATATGGAACTTTTTGCATTGAAGTCATTAACTATTAAATTAACAGTTTACACATAGCTTAAAAGCTAAAACTGTCAATGTGCCTAAGCACTGTACCATTAAGTTGTACAAGGGAAACAGAGAGTAATTTCCACGCATAAGACACCTCAGTACTACATTGTGTTGCGTGGTTATTTTCACAATATGGCCACCTCACCCCTGGGTACCCTGTTGGCAGGAAGCTACTAGGCCCTAGACCAGCCAAAAACAACCTGCTGTGAAGGAAACCATTTTATTAACATTTCACATACAACATTTTAAAATATTTGTTATATCTGTCACTCTTCAATTAACAATTAATAAAGTTTCACTGTAGTTCAGTTAGAAATATGAAGTTATACATTATTTTGTAGTGGTATGATTCTCTTGATTTAAGCCATTTTTAATAAAGCAAATTCCTGTCAAAATGAAAGGAGGTACAAATAAAATAACTGCAATTTCTCAGTTTCTATGGGTGTTATTACATTTCTGTAAGAGGTAATGAAAACATTATGAATCTCTGTGAAAGGTCCAATTAATTAACTCCATGGCACTGCATCTATAGTTGATGGTTATACCACTGATCAAGAAGTTCCTTGTTCACATGAAACCTGAAAGTTCACTGCTGTAATCATAAGAACACTCACCACTTACACTAACCTGAGAGAGCTCTGATCAGTTCATCTCTTTACAACCTATTCTTTCAAAATCTGACATGTCAAGTTACTGTTCTCAACATTCTTAAACCACTTCCTTTCTTGAGAGTGAAGGACTAATTTTCACTCATACCTACTGGTTTCAGAACATAACAGAATTAATCACATACTGTCAGTCGGTCCTTATTCTCCTGTATGACCTCCCGAAGCCGTTCCTGAATGCTTCCTTCTTGGGTTTCAACAAATTTTACAGGAGAACTCAGCTGAATTGCTAGTGATTCCAGCAGATGTCGCAGTTCATTCTGCAGCCTCTGGAGTTTCTCCTCCTTGAGCTTCACATCCTCTGTAAGTGACATGAACATGTGCAACTTTTCTTGCTTTTATAGTTGGAGGGGGCAGCCAAGAAGACATAACCCCACAACGTCATTAAGTGTACTCTGCTGAAAAAATTGACTGTGTCTGACATAAGCAGTTGTTTCAAGCAATTCACATAACTGACTGCATCATATGACACAGACTGAAGTGATTTATATCAGAACCCTAGTTACTTGTGACTTCTGAGATATTCTCAATTATAATTATGTGGTTTGACTGACAAAATTCTGTGGCCACATCTAATATATGACCTTGATTTTAGATTTTTAAACATCACTGAGTTCATGCAGTATACAAAGATCAGGAAGGATGCAGTCACAGCCTATTTTAAGGTAATATACTACCATTCACTATATACAGTTAGGAAAGCCATAAGGAATTTCAGTCAGAAAAGCCAGTAGCCTAGTCCTGACCTAAACTGGGTGCCTCTAAGATTAAAGTCAATAATGTCACCATTAAAGCAACTTTCTCAGTATAAAATATTCACTGCATTTGTCAGGTGCCATCTCAAGAAATAATTGTTCATGCATTTAAGTTATCTAAAACTGTATCAGAACATGCAAAGTTATTTTCATATATTGACATATATTTCACTTACACAACATCTTTACAGTAAACGTCAATGTAAACCTAACAAGCACAGAAATGTTTACACAGATGTTTGAATGTGCATTTCATGAGTTCTCTGTACTTGGTCCATAAAATCAATGCATAATGAGAAATGTCTCTCTCACTGCATGTAATTTCCTAAATCACTTACTGGATCTTGATGACATTTTATATGAGATGTCTGTTCTAAAATTTTTGATGAAACATCCTGTCATCTAAAATATATATATAAAATACAATACAAAGATGCAGTGACCAATTAAAATTAAAATGAAGTTACAAGATTATTTATAGCTACTATATGAAATATTTGTCAATATAATTTACATTTGATGAAAAACAAGAGTCGGCGTTGAACATACCCTTCAGCTGGCATATGGATGCTTCCTGGGAAGCGATGTTGTCTGTGGCTAACCCCAGGCTCCGATTGGAGACAGACAGTTTGTCTCGCAGGTCCATGACATCCCTCTCTGCCACTCGCTGTTGCATCTCAAGTGTGTCTTTCTCCTGCCTCAGTCGATCTAATTCCAAGAGATGTGATGCTGCTTGCCTCTGCAGTGAGTCTCTGTCAGCCACCGCCCTTTCTAAGGCCTCTCGACATGTTCGCAGTTCTGTCTGTATTGCTGACAGTGTGTCAGATACAGTGCTTGACCTTGTCCTCAGTCGAGATGTTTCCTGTAAATTAAAATATACCAAAATTCCTGCTCAAGTGTATATGTACAATATGCCTTCTAAAATATCTTCTACCATAATGAAAACTTCATACAATGAACTTCACTTTCATATACAAGGATCCTGGAACCAGGTTATAGCAGTATTACCATTACATTTGGTGTGATGGATGATATTTATGAATGTCTGCTTTGTTTTTAATTTATTTTTGCATATAACAAGACATGAAAAATTTATTAAATGAGCAAAATATTCAATACATACCTTTATAATTTCCCTTCTTATGCATGTTATCCTTTTATGCAGGAAACATTTAAAATGGGATATAAGCTTTACTCATATGGTGTTGTTTTTGCAACCCAATCATTTTAATTTCTTAGGAAGGAAATCGTTTTAAAATGGATCTCATTAAGCAAGAAACACATACTTAATTCTAGAAGACCAATTCATGGTAGCATAATATGAATCGGTCATATTTAAAATGTCATTATCAAAATTTAAGTGTATGAGGAATAGAGTGTGGAAGATTTGAATTTGAGAATTTGTATATAAAGATGCAAACAGTAGTTATAACAAAAACTTGAAAGAAGAAGTTGCTCTGCAGAAAACTGATTTCAGAGGGTAAAGTGTTAAGAGAGAAACCTGATGACAAAGAAAATAAAGCTAGTTACTGTGCATAGATAATGACTGGCTTTATCTGATGGACCTTACTGAGAAGACATCCCTTCTTTAAAACTGAAGATGGAGACAAACCTAACCTCCAAAACATACATCTTGTTTATTTAGACAATTTGGATAATGTCTAAAGCAAATACTCCCAGTCCCAGTGACTTCTGTTGAAACTAAAGAAAAGTCTTTCCACTTCTGTTGGACTAAGATTCCATTTTCATTAATGGAATTAATGGAAAGACCTGAAACATTCAAGTACATTTTTAACATATGTCTGTTGACATTTTGCCTGCCTGAAAATCTTACCTGAACTAACTCTGATGCTTTATGAATGAGACCATCTGGTGAGGACAGAATTGTTTCATTGTACTCTGTGCCTAAGGCTGAGGACAGTCTGCGCACGAGGTCTTGCATGGCCTTACGCTGTGCCTCCTTCAATGCTTCCTCAGAGTTGCATTCTAGTTCCAAAGAGTGAACCTACAACACCAGAACAGATAGCAATGTGCATTGAAACCAGGTGAAAAATATTGGTATCTACCATGTAAACTGCCAAGCTGTGATTTTCAGTTTTATTGTACAATCATGTTGCAAAATTTAAAGCTTTCATATAAATAAAGTGTCAACTACTAAGTTTATTTAGTGTAATTTCTATTGTTGATAACATATGAACAATGGATACAGAGGAAAAAATGAAAATATGTATTAATAAACTCTCCCTCAAAACAGTTTCATACACAAAGAAAGTAATATGCACTGACTTAGTCCAATAATCACCATCAGATATTACTTAACTGAATAATTTGTAGGTTATTTAATAATCCTGTTTCATCTACAGAGCTTCAATGGCGTGGAAAGAGAATGGAGGGTTATCATAATTGCTGAGACAGGAAGGACTTGGTAGGATGCCTCTTTAATACAATATCTCAGTACTCACCACAAAACCCTGTCTGAATAGCTGACAAATCAGTTGAGATTTGAACTGAGTATCTTGTGCATAAAAATGTTGGAATTACTGATTCTTCAACCCGTTCAGCGGTAATTAATAATTCACAGTTGTTGACACAGTGTGTATTCGTTTACTATGATTATATACAAGAATCTCTCACAAATATGGAAGTAATTTTATATGTGTGCAACAAGTTAGGAAATGTACATTGGGCGTAATTATTCCTGTGTCTGCCAGGATCTGGATTTGCTTTTGTGAACGAAGACAGTGTGTCAGTCACAGATTCTCCATGTGGTTGTGTGAATATCCATCTGACTGAGGATTCCCCACACAGGAGGTCCCTCACATAACTCTTCTACATGCAGAAATGCATGCAGGTCTTCATGTGGTGTCCATTATTGCTGTTGAATTTTAACCAAAACTGGAATGTGCTGACAAAATCAGTAAAACTAATCAGTATAAAAATTCATGAATATCAGTTCAATTGTTCTTGAATCATAACACATAAACAAAGAGACCAACAAGCATTGCAAACCTAACAGGTATATTTTTTGCAACTTTCAGTTATAAATGTGCTTAAAAATGAAAAGCTAACAAAACCTTATGCTATGTTTATCCCTTCTTCTGCACCTTCTTCCACTTATTTTACTGCACTGCATTTCCTTTCTCAATACCTATACCATTCATATGCTTTATCAGTTAAAATCATAAAATGCTTCAGGCATTGTCATTTCTCTGATCTTCTGATTACTAGCAATGGCACAAACACAGCAACTTTATCCTTACTTCTATTTCCCCCACAACAGCTTCCACTTCTAACAGTGTAATTCTTTCTGGGAGTAAGTTGAAAAGTAACCTACACTCATCTGCACATTTTCTCAGAAGAGAAGACATATAACACAGAGGCAATCCAGATTTAATGTTCTGCAGGAAGTCAAATGGTTCTAAGCACCTTCTTCTCCAAGTCCTTTATTTTTTCTTCCTGATAACGGTTTTCTCGCTGGAGGGTCTGCATTGCCATCTCGGCTCGCCCCTGTGACGCAGTGAGGTTGCGTTCTCTCTCCTCCAGATCCTGCAACATAAACAAGTAGCTGAATTACTACAGCCCCTTAAATTACCAACGTTCAAACATGCTTTAATAACACTAAATATATGAAGCAATTTATTGATCATTTTGTTCTCATGGAACAAAGTCTCTTGCACTGGAGGAGAACATAAATTTCAAGTCTCCCAAAACCGCATGCTGAAGAGAATATTTATACTGTGGGGAGGTGACATAGAAGGACAATATTACACAGGAAGGAAATATATAACTTTATAACATGGAGGTTATGATGGACTGCATGGGTAAGGAAAGGAAGAAATGCAAACAGAATTTTGGAGGAGAATCCATTAGGAAAACTTTATGGATAACATTAAATTGAAAGTTAAGAAAACTGGTTCTGAGGATGAAAAGTTTTTGGAATTGGTATAAGATCATGAATAATTGCAGGTTTTGGAAATAACAATGTTAAACCAGGTTCTATTAAAGCAGTGTTAGTTCACAGGTTATTCATTCAAATTTATGCTTATCTTAATGTGACAAAATATAAGTAGCACTGCACATGAAGGGTCCTGGCAGTAACAATATACCTGAATCCTCTTCTTGAGAGATGCAATGACAGCATTTTGTCGTGCCGCTTGCTCCCGCAGCTGTTCTGTCTCCACCTGCAGCTCCAAGGCACGCTGATCTCGACTGCGTAGCTGTCCCTTCATTTCTTGCAACTACAATGGAATACAAGAAGTAGGACCTCACATTCCTTTTCATCATCACACCTAGAACATCTCTGGGGCTTATCCAGCCTGCTATCCAGTGGATGTAGCAGTTCTCTCTCCAGGGCGTAAAGCTTATTCCTCACCTTTAAATACATATTGCTCAGGTATGTCAAGAACTTTGACACCTGATTATTACATGTTCTTTGCATGAAGGGAACATATTATGTCTCTGTCTGCATGTTTCTCTGAATTGGAATTTGTTGGTATGACAGACCTAATTTTATTTTTGCCATATACTGCTGCAATATTACCCTACTTTACTTGGAATTCAGATTGGATTTTCTGTCATCTAGAACTTGAGATTTCCATCTTTATAAGGAAAGATTCCCACCTCACTGAGCAGTCGGTCTCGCTTGTACTGAAGTGCAGCAATATCACTGCGAAGGGAAGTTGTCACATCGTGTGACATATCTCCTGCTTCCTCTTCAGTCTGCAAAAGCAACAAAGGAAGCAACTGCCTTTCTCAAATATTTATTTACTGCTTTTGTTCATGTTATATGTATGCCTCTTTACACAACTAGTTTTATGGAAAATTATTGTGCAAAAAGTTATTATTAACCAATTCAGTGATAACAGAATCAGAACATTCAATAAAACAAATACAAAACACAACAGTGAACATATCATCATCATCATTTAAAGGTCTACTTCAGAAAGGATGTTGTTCCACTTTAACAAATGTTTGAAACACAAAAAGACGTGTTTAAAATTAAAATTCTTGCCAAAACGGTCAAAACAGTTTGGCTCCATTTTCACTGTGGACTAGAACCACACAATTTTTACATCAATACACTGAATAATTTTATGTATGAAGAAATGTAAAACTAAATATCAGCCACCTATTTTTTACACTGGACCCATCACTTGCTGTTGCTGCTGCTATTATTTGTTGCTTCATACTTATGCAGAAACTAAATATGCTTCCAACATCTATAATTTGGCATCCTAATATCATTCAAGTTGCTACCATACTGGTATTTTCAAACAGAAAACTTTCAAAGACGGTGAAATAAACAAAAGAAATTTCTAACATTCTTAAGCTCTTTCACTATGGAAAAGTTCACATTATACACACTGCAGGTAATAACCACACAAATGAAAGGCTGGAGATAGCAACTTTATTAAATTCCATGGACCCATAGTCAGATAGTAATAGGATGTGATTTCATTGGTTGTTTCAAAACATGATCTTTATTTAAGCATAAACAAAATTTCTATTTGATATTGTCTTTTCTAAATATCTGAACTATGCCAAATTGTTGAAACAACAATGGTAAATAACGCTGCAGTTAACTTTTATTGTGTAAGAATGACTCTCATTGTCATGGAAATTCCAGTAACAACAAGTGTGAAGAAGAATACTGACGTGCAACGGACGTTAGTGTCTTACAATGATTCATGGTGAAACAGTATCTGCTAACGTGAATTCTGGTCAAGAATTAATGACGAACTCCATTCTCAGATCCTTATATCGGCGCTGTAAGGTAAGAGATGGATGGAAGTTTATTATCACTAATACAAAACCCGTCATTAGGCACTACCCTGAACTAGTTCAACCACTCACATCTTCACAGAATGTTTCCTTATATCAAATGTAAATGTTGGTATACAAACATTTTATTCCTTCAATTAATTAAACAGGAACCTTGCTTCGACAAATGTAAACCCGATTATTCCAGATGGGATAAATCTGACCTTGCGTGGTGCATGATTGTGAAACTAATGAGCAACCAATACAGAATTGGTTTGATCTACGCGTATGCATTCAACAATCAAGTAGTTTTATGAAGACAAATGGGAGTAGTTAAGCTGAGTTTCAGTTTCTAGTTACGTTACAGTTCACGGCGTATTTTATTATTAAGTACATGGTCTAAACGCCAATGTCCAGAAACACGCCTTTAACATTTTAATATCTGGTGTCTCTCTTTATTTGAAGTCCATGCTTTTATGTTTGTGTTAACTGTTTCTTTCAATATTTTATTTTTGAAAGATCTGCTGATGGCATTGCAAATCTGTTTAATGTGAGTCAGTATAGTGACTAGCTACGGGCTGGACGGCCGGGGTTGAAACAACAATGGTAAATTACTGCAATCAACAGTTACTGTAACAATGATTGTCGTCAGGGAAATTCAAGTAAACAACACGGGAAGGACATTGAAAAGTACACGTCACTTTTTCAATTCTTTAACAGTACAGAATAAAAAAACCAACGCTTTAATTGTTTGATGCTGAAGCTTGACTAGGTAATATTTAAGAATTCAGTCCATTCCGGAAAATAACTCTTCACCACCTTTATAAAATATTTTTTATTGCGCACTCTAACTGGATATACAGTTGAGAAACTATTGGCAAAATAAAGAAATAATGCATCATTCCTTATAATTCTGTTTTAATTTCAGATGATATTTCAGTCGATATCAAAAATATTTTGCAAGTTGTACATCATCTCGTTTGCTCTCATGCTCCTGGTAAGTGATAATGTTAATAGATACTTGATATAGATTCTCTGGACACAGGGAACTCAGAAAGGAGGATCATATTTGTCTGGCTTCTCCTTTGGAAATTGGCATTGTTGTTCTACATTCAACAATGTCGGAAAATGTAATTTCGGTTCAGATCAGTCCAGCAAGATTAAACAGAATTTTACTAATAACCTCAAAAGCTGATCATGGTACAAAAATATAACTATGTACGTATCCCTGTGTTTAAGGACTATGCTTTGAGGATATACGCATATGTAGGCAAAACTCCATATATTCTTAATATCAGCACTAGCTAGAGGTGAGAGGTCAGTTTTATATCCAAGGGATTTACAAGGAGGGAAAAGCACCACCTGGAACTCACTATCTAGTAAGCTGGGTGTGTTCCAGAGCCATCCTTTATGCAGTAATATACAAATGAAAATTAGTGACATAAATCAATAGAATGGATGAAAAATCGCAACTAATCTCTGTGCTCCAGACTGGAGTACACCTTTCCACATTTGTTTTTGTGATTTTACATAATACTAGACACCAGTTTCCAACCTCTTTATGCAAGGGGAAAGTCTAAATTAAAATTTTCATCACAGATTTATTGTTGGTGTGTATGACCTTCCATGAATCTGAAATACAGCTTCATAATTTTTCAGAACAAATTAGTACACAGAAACTATAATGTAATTAATATCTACAATTTCTATTTGAAACTTATTTTTCATATAGCCCAGTGTTTAACATACTACAATGAAGAATAGTGTGTAATATGTGCAGTTATATGTAGCATGATTAGCTTTGAGATAAAAGATAAGTGGAGTATGAAGCATGGCAGGGAACACACTGGGAATGAGTTCCAAACTATTGTAGATGTTAAGCTTTATGCTCGTTTCATTTTATGACCCACATCGACTCGGGGATGCACCGCTGGCTAACAGAAGTAAAGCAATCTGAATATGAACCTGATCACTTACCTCCATCTACTGTACCAAGTTTCAAATTTTCATGGACCTACACCTTAACTACCCTGGTCTGGTACTTCAACACGACAACTATGCATTTTCTTTGGGATTCTACGTATGACCTCAAAAGTGGTTTATGGACAAAACCTTCAGAGAATCTGTGGTTTTACGTACTTTGTCATGACTTTACAACTTCCCTGATAGTGTTCGCTCATAACAGCTGTAGTTTATCTAGTGATATACAGAATTTTCTTATGGTCCACGGGCATATTATTGACCAAAATATCCACATTAATTAAATGTAAATGTAAGGCATGATGAAGAAAATGCTTATTAAATTAACATAATAAAAAGGGCTAAAATTTACTAATTGATTTGCTAAGTCTAAATTATAGCTAATTACTTTACACCTACACATGCACTTACATAACATTGTTTTTAATAATTAATAATTTAAAAGTATGTTATAATTAGAAATACTATTACCAGAAATGTACAGAACATTATTTTCACTATCAAGGATTTTCAAAAAGATATTATAATTAAAATGCACATTATGAACATATCTTGTCCTTATGTTTTCTTGGAAATAAAAAGCATTTCAGCAAACACTGCAGTTACCATCTTCATGGTGAATGTTGTTGGGCTGAGAAGGTTTCCAGAAGCAACAACTTCTTTTCCACAGCCAAGTGGTTGCTCCATATTAGATACCACCCCTCCAATCACACCTTCATTTCCACTTACAACCCACTGCACTTTGGAACCCATCAAAGGCATTCTTCCTAAAGATGGCAGATGGTATGCCAATATTCAATACAGTTTATTCCTGATACATGTATCATTTACATCTCTATCTGTATATATTTCTGGTGCCCAGGCGAGACAAACCTACCTGTTATCAGTTGGAGATAGACAATGGCTTCTTCTCTCCAATGGTGAGTTCGTGGACCCAGACTGGAAAGTATCCCCACTACAGGTCTTCAACAGCCCCCCAGAGCCAGGTACATGATTACTGTTATCACACCATAGGCCAGTAGTTATCTGGCATATGAGAGCCCAATAAACAGAATGACAGCCTTTCTCACCCCATAACCATTCACTTTGGTTGAAATATGCTGGTATACTTTTGTAATACTTGTAAACATGGGCAAGGGATATTAAGAGCACAGTTCACAGTGATGTTAATGACAACTAGTAGGTCTACACAACATCAAAAATAAATGTAATCAGGAAGGTTGTATTCAAGAATTATTAGTTATATTCTATGGCATAAAATTGTCTGTATTCAGACTTCAATATTTTGACATCAACAACAAAGGAATGCCAGTGAAGTTCTTAAGTAAAATAACTGTGCACATTTTTTCCTAATAGCAGTTTTCACCAAGTCATCAGTAGGCTTATTATTTGTAACTTTATTCTGTCTGTGATCAGTTTTGTGGGATGATTTAAACTCACCCGCAAATTTGCATTCCTTTGATATAGTCAAGAAACTACTCAAGTACAATATGACTTGATCACAGATAAAGTGGTATGAGTCAACAAAGGAAGAAAAGGAGTGTTTTAGGTATATGTTTTTAAAATATTCACTGTAATAAATGAAATGCATTTGTATTAAAGTTAATGACATTTTCTAGCAAGCACACCAAATTACTCTACATTCTACATTTGGTATTAAGGAAGTATTTAATTTTATACAACATTAAGATAATTTGACTTATACCACTTTAGCTTTCAGGAGATTTTATACACAATGTGTGTCACTTGTCCAACATTTGGTGGCACATGGTCTTACATACATTCTCTCTTCCCAGTTTTGAAAGTGGGTAACATGTTATTTCAGGTAAACTTCCCCCTGTGTAAACTCTATAATCAAGCATCCTGTTTTGTTTCAGTAATGATCATTAATTCTGAACAAAGTGCTAACTATGTCATCGTCAACATAATAACAGCAGTAATGATGATATGGGGCACTGTCATGGTGAGTAATATGCCTGTTGAAAACATAATCTCTTAATTATTTTTTTGTGCTGGTAAGTTTCTAGACAAGCCTCTGTCACCACTCAGCACACTATTGTAAATGCAGAATCCATCACTCTGCTCAAAAGTAAGGCAGTTATGCCATCATGCCGCAGCCAGATTCAGGCTGGATGTGCACCTTGAGTGGCTATACCATTTAGTAATTCTTGACATTCTGTAAGCCATCGTTCTATGCTTCATAGTTGCTTGTCTGTCATCTAGGCCCTAGATGACAGACAACAAATTTGTACCCCCAGAGTTGTTGGTGTATAATTCAAGTTATACACAGTATATAATCTACATCTGAAATAAATTAAATAAATTACATTACTGATTATTCAGTGTTTATCATAAAATAATATGATTTTTTTAAAATTTCACGCACCCCGTAAGATGTCTTCGCGTACCCCCAGATATAATTTCTCTTCAACTTTGTACCCCCAAAGTTGTTGGTGTATAATTCAAGTTATACATAGTATATAATCTACATCTAAAATAAATTAAATAAATTACATTACTGATTATTCAGTGTTTATCATAAAATAATATATATTTTTTTTAAATTTCACATACCCCCTAAGATGTCTTTGCGTACCCCAGGTTGAATACCACTTATCTAGGGAATGGACAATGGGCCTGTTAGTAACCTTAATAGAGACACTGTCTCACAACATAACAATAAAAAAGTGTTCTGGCCTATAATTTTAGTAAAAATAGCAATATGGTTTTTAACTCAAACTCAAAACATCATTAGGGCTTTATCATCCTAATTTTGTGAAAGACCATTACATTATCTTCACCAGATTCCATCAAACATGAGGAGAAGAGTGAATACATGCATCACTGAACATGATGGACAATTTTAGCAGTTAATATGACACTGTTTTTTTTGTTTTCTGATCTCAATGTAATGTATTTTTTGACAAACAGAATATGTATCAGGAATGGGTTGTATGACTTTTCAATCACCATGCAGTTATGTGGTCATGAATGTGGCTGCCCAGTGACTGTAAAGTGTATACAACCCAGAAGACCATAATCCAAACTTCAAATCTCAGATAAACTGTCTTACTTACATTGTGTGTTTCTTTACTAGAATATTGGGGTGTTGGTATACCCAGGCTTGATTACTGTATTAGTGGCTCTGCTGCAGGATTGGACCTATGTTTTCCACAGAAATCCTTTTGAGGATCAAGTTGACATCGGAGAACAGACGTACCACAATTTCATTAACGTTTTTGTTGTAATTTTGGGTAAGTGCTGCCCACCTAGTGCATCTTTTGGAGTTCATGTTTCCACCATTCTTATTTCATGAAGATGTAATACGATTTTTATTTTGTTACTTACTTTTGAAAGTGTCTGAGAATAAATTGCTGAGGAGAATATTTGGACATAAGAGAGAGATAAATTAACAGAAGGATAAAGACAATTAAATAATGAAAAGGTTATACTTTGTACTTTTTGCCAAGAAGTATGAAGTTGATTAAATCAAATAAGATGAGATTGGTGGTGCACGTACATACAGGAAGAATAAATTCACACAGTTTAGCCAGAGAATGTTTAGTGAAGATCTCACATGGGAGAAATAAATTAATTGGGAAGATAACATCAAAATACAGTGTGCTCGCCACTAGACCCAAGGTTCGTGAGTTCAAACCCAGCCAAGTTCGATGGATTTTTAAGGGTTATAAAAATCTGTAGCACAACTTCCTCCCAAGGGGAAGTAAAGCCAGCAGTCCCATGTTGCAGATTTACAGCATGTAAAAGAACCTTACATGAATGAGATGTTTCGTAAGCAAAATTCAGCTGCCATTTCTCACCCAAGTCTCTCCTGATTCACTACTAGATGGCTCTAGCAGGCAAATCAGAATTGAGTATAAATTGTGCAGAGGCAGAGTTCTTGTCATTTACTACTCATAAATGCACACTTCAAAGATAAGGAAACCTCCCACATGGGAGGAGGCCTTGGCTCGACTTCGGGCTGTTGAGTCACAGAAGAAGTATGGACTAAATTCATGTGGTTCAGAATAGGGTCCAGTGTTGGCATTTTGTGAATATGGCAGTGAACCTTCAAGTTTCATAAATGTGGGTAATTTCTTAAGCAGCAAAGCAGAAACAGCCTGAATCATGAAGGCAGTTACCCAGATATGTACATTGGTGGATTTCATGTGGGACTGTTGCTTATTAATTTGAAATTATGTATGCTTACTTTTGCTTTCCATTTCCTAATTCCTTTGCTTCTCTTTACAGTTGCAAAAAGTCTGCTGTGGTATGCAACCATCCGATGTTTAAGAAGTAGGCATAATACAGTAACACGATAATGTGTCCACGATAATGTGTCAACAAAAGAATAAATATACACTTTCACTGCTTTCCAATGATGTGTTCAATGTCCCACATCCTCGACCATAAGCAAATCCTCAGGTAGAAAGCATTCATCAGTCCAAAATTCAAAACAACAAAATACTAACTGTAAACGTTTCCCACAAAAGCTCTGAAGCTAAGTGCATGCGTGCATCTGTCCAACTTACAACAAAAGGGGTGGCCAAGTTCCAGGATAAAGGGGTGTCCAAGATATAGGGTATTGTGGACATGTAAAATTATAGGATATTCGCCGGTTCCAATTAAAAGTGTCCAATATATAGGGGTATCCAGGATATAGGGGTGTCCAACTAGAGGGGTTTTACTGTATATGAAAATCCCAAATGGGCCATGTTCAAATACAAGTAACAAGAATTACTAAACTATCAAGCTGAGGCCTTCCTCCCCATTCATGTTAGCATTCCTGGTCATTTGGTCCATGTGTCTATATCTAGAGGAGTTGAATTCAGTGGTTATTGCTAATTTATCTTATAACCACAGATGGATGTGCCAGTAATGCTTCTTCATTCTGGTCTCAGTGGAATGGCTAGTCTGTCCAATGTAGACTTGATCACATTTGCATACATGCCTGGAGTCTTGAGTCCCAAGAAGCCCTTCAAGGGCCAAAGGAAACTGGGAATCTTATGCTGACAAAGGGAAGGTGACCAAGAGAGGTTTCTTTGGGGCCAGGGTGACTCTCTTCTGTGGGATGAGTGCCGATGGCTACAGCCATTCTGCTTGAAAGTGACCTGCAAAGGACTCAAGACTCCAGACGCGTATGGCATGCCCTGCAAATGTGGTCAAGTTTACATTGGGCAGACCAGGATTAAGGACCAGCACATCTGTCTGTAGTGTCCAGATAGTGGCCAAACACGGTACAATTCTAGGCTGCCAGATTTAACTCCAGGACAGCAGTACCCTCTCCACTAAATCCAGATACTTGGACTGGAAGATCAAGGAGGCTATTGAGACTGAGCTTCTTTGTTTATTATTATATATTTTTGGCTACAAAGCTCTGTCTCTCCTCATCATATCCCCTACCCCCATCCACCGGTGTGGCGAAGTTTTGTGTAACCACTAATTTGCTGTAAGCAGCCTGGAATGGCACATGTCATGTATATATTATAAACACTACATTGTAAATATTAAATCTGTGTATTTATACAATGAAAAATGTAAGTATGCAGAAATTTGAAGGGAAAAAATCCAATACATATGACAAATAACTTGTGTTGGGCAAGGCCGTGATCTAGGCAATACGGAGTTTTCCTCCGGGGCCTTCCCCGGTTTGTCCGTGGCATCCCAACAATTACTCCATTCACACACAGAAGAAGGCAATGGTAAACCACTTCTGAATCATCTGTCAAGAACGTATATGAACAGGTCCCAGTCCGAGAAAAGGATTAAAGGATCCTGTTCATATGGACCTGTCGTCAGACAGAACACTAAATAAATAATAAATAAGATGATGTGAATGAGATGAGTGGCCAACACTTCCACCATGACCATAACAGCAGCTCATGAGCCAAGTTGTTGGCCACGGTATTGAACATGATAATGTAAAAAAACATCTGTAATTTAGAATATGGTCTTCTTCTTTAAGTGCCTATCCGTTCCGGATGTTGGCGATCAGCATAGCAATTTGAGCTTTACTGGCTGCTACTTGAAACAGCCCTCCAGTGGACATTGAGAACCAAGTTTTTAGGTTCTGAAGCCAGGAGTTTCTTGGCCTGCCAGGTCCCCTATTTTCGAATACTTTTCCCTGGATTATCAGCTGAAGCAGCCCGTATCTATCACTATTTCTCATGATATGACCGAAATATTCAAACTTTCTCTTTTTTATGGTGTTAACAACCTCGACGTCTTTGCGGAGTTCCTCGAGAATTTTTTTGTTGGTTACACGGTCAGTCCAGGAAATTCTGAGAATACGTCGGTACAACCACATTTCGAATGCCTCCAACTTTTTTGAAGAAGCTTCGGTCAACGTCCACGATTTAGCGCCGTGTAAAAGCACGGAGAGAATATAACATCTGAGTAGTCTTAACTTGGTGTTTAAGTCTCTACTCGAATTTCCTGGCACTGATACAGATATAAACTGCAGTAAGTTCCATGGGCCTATAGTCCTCAGAATTTATCCATCAGAATCTTAATTCACTCCCGATATATTCGACATTAAATGGTCCAAGTTTACATAGCATTATCAACAATTATTCAACAGTTTAAAAATCTTGAATTTATCTGCTTTCATGGTGCCATGAAAAGAAAGCACATTTCGAGCAATTCCACTTTTTTATTATTTAAAGAAGGGGCAGATTGTATACTACGTTTGTGTCCCTGATGTTTATTATCAAATCAAGTTTTTGAATAAAGACTACTCCGGAAATTGACTTCAATTTACTGAGTTTAATACCGCCTACCATGAAAAGCGAATTGTTACGTTTTTGTTAGGTTTTTGAATTAAACTAATGGAAAAAAGAACTACTTACTACATCGATCCGTGACTGTCGTGTCCTACCTCCGAGGCCAAATTACAAGATTCAAATGTACGAATGTGGGTTACCTTTAAAGCGATGAAATCGAGGCTTGAATCGTGAAATTTATAAAACAGACTCACCACTAACAGAATTTCATATCGCTTATTCGTTCCAGTGCCCTATCTTGAACTGTGGCCAGATAACTCGTTCTTGCCCTCGCGTACCGTGGAACGACGTGACAGGTAGCAACTCTCCACGTGACTGTATCATCACTTGACAGGAGTGGGGAAGAACTAATAGAAATTTCTCATTGACCAGTCAATAACAATTTGATATTTAATGACATTGTATCAACTGTGGAGCTTACATGGGATAGAGGAAGAGTGTGAGGGATGGGCGAGGAAGCAGTCGTGACCTACTGTAACGTACTATGTCGGAATTCACTGGTCAGCGAGGGCATTGGTTGTTGTTTTTAAGTGTGCTATCATTCTGTAATTTCGCTAGCTGGACTGAGAAAAGTCAAAAAAATCTCGGACAGGGCCATGGCATTTTTATGTACGAAATAATTACTAAAACATAGAAAGTGCGCAGACAGTGGTACGAACCAAAAGAGAAATACAATTTACGTCAGTTCCACGTGGAATTGTGCAATCTGGAAATAAAATCAGGTCTGACTTACTAGTAGAACACTGCAACCGATATTTGATCCAAGTTAGGTACTAGATATTGGCCTAATAACTTGTATTGAAATCTATAAAACTCTAAACTTCAGCATATTTGAAATAATTGAGAGGGGAGGAAAATATAGCTGACAGCTTAATAATTAGGTGATCTCATTCCCGAAGAAAGACTAAAACGTAACAGAATTACAAAAGGATGGGCAATATATTTAAAACAAGCAGTTGAAACAAAAGGCTCTGGTAATGAAGACTGCTAAAGGAGCCAAATGAAATTTCTTGAAAGAAATGCGAGAAAAACGAAAGTATCTGGCTACAAGTTCAAACGTAACTACCCAGAAGACCAGCATCGACTTTGCACCGTCGTGAGAACCTCAAATCTCTTGTTCCATTGTTTCATTTTATGCGTTCTCTGCAAAAGCCATATTTACTTGCCTACCCACTTCTTTACTGTCACGAGCCATTTAATGGACGTCCTATAGAGCTTAGTACTGGTAGTCTAATCTAAAACCGTCGGACTTCATTTTAGTCCGTATACATGAAGCAACTCTCAACGATCGGGAATAATGTCTTGCGGCAGAAAAGCAGTTTAGGTTTTCAGCCCACTGCGCAGAGCTTCAGCCAAAGTTCTTAATAAACAGGTACCCTGAGATATTCACAGTTCTGCTTGTATCGATCTGCTGTTTCCTATAGCCTAGTTCCACCTGGTACGGGTCATCGACCATGTGCGGCACTGTTCACTGCACACGCTGAAGAACGAAAATCAAAGGCACTCCGACTCGACAGGATTCGATGCGTGGACCTTACAACAACTAATGTCAATGGATGTATATATGTCGGTACACTGATACGAAATAACGAGTACAGGCTGGACGGCCGGGGTTCGAATGCCAATATTTTTCTCTTAGCCGCCACTTCTACATGACCTGACTTCTACACCAGAATTCGCCACTGAAAAATATTAAAAGTTGGCCAATAAATAATTCGAAAATGTGGCAAAATTAAAATCTGTGGGAATGAGGGTAATAAAATAAAATTGCATTCAAGAAGAAACGAAAACATTAAATTCCGGGAATGCTCGCTCCCATCTGCCATCCGAATGTTTAAGGATTAAAATAAAACTATAATTTCACTGTTTAGTATGGGTGTGAAACTTGATCTTTCGCTTTAAAGGGCATACGTACATACACTGACGGTATTTAAGAACACGATGCTGGGGAAAATGTTTGAAGTGACGGTTAGAGATATTACATGTGAAGATAATCAAATAAAGGATACGGGCGGGACATATAACACGGCATAGATGAAATGAAAATTTCATATAAGACGCTGATTGAAAAGCCATGGCAAGAGTTCATTCGGAAGACCTAGTCGTACGGAAGCACAATATTAAAACGAATCTTAAAGAAATAGGGTGGAGATCGTGGGCTGGATTCATCTGGTAGTATCTGAGGTTTTCACGGTGGTGAGTCTGGGTTGTAGCGCCGTGTGGTCTGGTAGACTACCCCGCACTGATGATGGAGGCAGCAACGACCTCTGAATCTCTGGTAAACTTCTTCCAGACTACATGACGCTATAACCCAAAAGACAGCCATCTTTGGATTCATCAGGCTCAGGACTGGGACCAGTGGTGGGCTCTTGTGAACACGGTAATGAACGTTATGGTTCAATAAAATGCGACATGTTTCTTACCTGTCTGACCGGCTATCAGCTTCTGAAGAAGGGCTGTGTTTCATGAAGTTGATGAAAACCGAGCCAGTTTGAGCTTGCAGTGATTAACGTATGCCTATTGCCTAAGTGTTTACATATAGGCTATGGTTAAATAATCACCGCACTGAAATACATTTTTAATAAAATATGTAGAACTTTACGACAGTGACTGGTTATGTTTAATAACTATTTTAACATTATAAATCATTTGTTATAAAGAAACGATACCAGGCTTCATTACTTAACCTTGGATCAAATGCGAATCTGGTAATTTTCCTGTGATACTTTACAACGTGTATGAACAGGATAAGGACCGTGTCTACGGTGGATTCACGATGTGATCCGTTGAATCCCCGAAATGGGATGTTAAAAACATATTTATTTCCTTAAATTGTATAAAAATTAGAGTTTTTGTGTGACGGTGCCAAAATTCATTACAGTTGGTTGGTTTAGGGATCTATGTATTATTAACAATTTCTCACCATTTCTATACGCAAATCCTTACACAGGATCTCATAAATCTCCCAATCTTCCTCAGTGTCCACCACTCTGGATTCTTCAGGGGTTGCCATCACCTGCATTCATTCTCCCAACACCTGTAGTTACCAGTACCATTCCATCATCACTTATCACAACTCTCTTCTTCGGTTCTATTGACAGAAACGTGAAATTCCCATGAATGTGCCATGCTACGTGTTTCCAAAACACAATTCATTCACCAAGCTTCCCCCCTCCCTTTCAACCTCACATACAAAATTCGATCGGGCCTATTCTCGGAAGAATCCATTCAAAACAAACGCTTAACATCATTACGGAAATGCACACTGATTAAAAGTATGCACAAAAATTAAAAACAGAAAATTATTTGTCACAGGTGCCCATCGGTGCAACACCACACTGCTCTGTTCGACGCTAATACTAAAACTCGTGTAGAAAATGGAGTAGACATCAGAAAAGTAGAAGGAAGGCACCGTGAAGTGTTGCGCGGATGCCTGAACGGCGAGAAAGAGTCGACACGAGTGGGGAAGTGATCGGACGAGGGGTTTCACACATCGATTGAAAATATACAATTTACCGCCGATACGAAGAAGGTACTAAGTTTGGATTTTTGAACCCATTTCTTGCTATTTCTCTCATGTAAATTATTCCAAAAATCACCAAGCTCTCTGCAGTACCTCTGTGCCATTAATTGGATGAGGATTGACTACGTAAGCAAACCACGCCTTCATATTTAAAATATTCCAGAGCCTGGATATTCAGATTTTACCCAGCTTGTTAAATTTTACAAAAATGCCATAACATCACCATTCAACATCACATCCTGTAGAAAGCAGCATGGTGCACTGAATATAAATCAGGTGTTGGTTGTTACAACACACTGTAATGCAATACTAACTGATCATGGTTTAATCTTTTATCCCCCTGCATTTTAACTTGTTCGAATAATATATTTAAAATTTAGGTTTCTATCTCAAAGCAAATACAATGCATCTCTACAGCAAATATCATTCAGGAAATGATGTGAGGGAAATAATCACTAATTATTTTCAGAATCATATGAAACCATTATACTCTGTGGGTAAAATGCGCTGTTACTGAATGTAAAAGTAGGTGCATTAAAGGGTTAAAAGGCAATGTTTATCAAAACTGTATTAAAATATTTACAGCTTGCCACACTACCTGCACACTTATAATTTTATACTATCACTAATGCAAACATGGCAGCTATGTGAACCTCTGAGATGAACATGACATATGCATTTCTTGATCCAGGATCTTAAAATGTTATCACTCATTTCACATTATAATACCACAAGAACCCAAAAAAAATGTGAAAGACAATATTCCTACTATGAGACACACTTTTACATCTTCTTTGCACTCACTATGAAAAGTAAACATAAAATGGGGTCTTCATACTGTTCAATGCTCATGTTTCATCTACCTAATGGATGTATTTCAATATTTTATGGGAGCAATCTACACTAAAAGTTTTCATATGATTTGTAGTCCCTTACAACTTCTACATTATGTGTAGCTTAAATCATACTTTATCATTAAGATATACAACTCATATTTTAAACATTCTGATATAGCGCATATTAAAAACATTTCAGGAACAGCAGATTTGTACCTACAATAATGAACATCAAGGCTAATGAGAGATTAATATACCATGTGGCTGTGGTTAGTGTCATTGCTTCACATCCAGGAGGTCTCAGATTCAAATCCGAGCCTGGATAGCATTACTTCTTTGTATTAGATACTCCATGTTTATTGTTTGCGTGTATTTGAATCTGGGTGCATAGTCTAAACAGTATTTATCCAAATTAATATAAGATTTAAGCTTGATGTTTTTTGGGGTCCTATTCCATTTTTCTTTATATCTACCAATACTTGTCCTAATTTTATTCAACATTCTCTATTCATACAATGAACTATCTTCTTTACACCCATTACTAGATAAAATTTCAAAATCCTTTCTCAACACCCCTTTCTTACTTCACATTCCAAAACATGCCACAATGCTTTCCCTCCTCTTAATCTCTTCTTCCACTCCCCTATTTCCATACCCCTCTTTAACCTTTTCAGTCACCATACTACAACCTCCTACCACATTATTTCTCTTTTTCAACCCTAACACATTTCTAAACAGTGGTTCTCCCAATTTCTTTTCAAACAATGGAAAAGCACTAAAGGCCATCTCCCTCTCATATGTGCTTCCGTATTATGTTTTTATATATAAACACATATTATAATTATTACTGTAATGTACAATGCACATAAAATATAATAATTATTGTATTATAGTTCATCAATGCTCATAAAGAGCTTTTGAATGGAGATTTTTGGGCCTAGGTTGGTAAAATACCTCTTGTATGTCACGGGATACAAATAGCATAGTAGCATACGTATTGGATAGGTTAAATTCTGTCTACGGCAACAGTTACTTGTTCACCCTACCTTTTAACAATGATCAACTAGCTCTAACTTATTTATATCAACCACAATCATTAGGACTTGTTGGAATAGTCAACATCACGTAACTACCAACATGAACGCGTACATTTTTAATTCTGACGCTTGCTGAATTTTGTTTGTTTTACTTTAATGAATATAGAACGTGTTTAAGCAACCCCAAGAAAAGATAAGCGATAGTTCCATTGTATTGGAATGCACATAAATGTCTGAAAAGGAGTCTCTTGGATTATGTAAAAGTAATTCTCACAGAATACAGTCATGGATACCAAGCATTGTCTGTACTCCAGATATCACCACACAATCGTTCTGCAGATGGCGTTAGAAGTAGTGATCTATAATGTAAAGATAACCTTTATTTACCTGTCTGTATTTTGCTGGCCATAATTTGTAATAAGTGTACGGATGGAAGCTTTCTTTGCCGTCTGGATCTGATGCAGTCAGTGCCAAACACTGAATAAGTGGCAATAGAGCAAAACTGTATAATTTCAAAACATTGTAGATTATTATATGTGGTGAACCGTTGGGGCTGACTGCAGTTTCCAAAGGGAACCGTATTTATAACTACTACTGCTACTGTTTAGCAACAAAATTTATTACATTTTAGGCCATTCGTTGTATAAATGTAAGTGCTTAACACTATCGGATCGGATGTGTTTAACCCCACGATCTTTAAAATATGGTATGTAAAATCTTGTTGGTTGGAACTGGGCTTACGAGCGCAGTTACAGGATCACTTCTTCGTAAAATGTGCCAGAAACATGTCAATCTGGTTTTCTGGGACAAGGCAAAAGAAGTTGGCGGCCGAATGAGAACAAGCATGAGCCCTTCTAATTCAAACAGCATTGCAGACCTTGGTGCACAGTACATAACGTCAACACAGGAGAACTTCACTAATCATAGTGATCTCTATGAATCACTGATATTGGGGAAACTACTCGAACCTTTGTGTAGCAAGATAGAAGGAATGAAGGATTTGCCAGTAGGTACAAAGCAGTTTGTGGCCCCACATGGAATGAATTCTTTGGTGAAACATTTTCTTTATAATGCTGCAGATGAAATCCATTTTGGATATTATGTAGTATCTATAAGTAAACAGGGCAAGAGATGGCTTGTTGAAACTGAGTGTGGAGTGAACGATATGTTTGATGTAGTTATCTTAACATTGCCTGTACCTCAGTTGCTTGATATTGGAGGTTTCATCCAGGAAATAATACATAAAAACTCTGAAATGAAGCATAGCCTAAAGTCTGTGACATTTAGTTCCAGATATGCATTATGTTTGTTTTTTGATTCAAATTTTAAATTTAACCCAGGATGGGACTCAAAGTACATATGTGATAATGAGATCTTTCGGTTTGTTTCATTTGATAATAAAAAAAGAAACAGGCCAGATTTACCTTCTGCAGTCGTGTTTCATACATCCATACAGTATGGTGCAATTAACTCTGACAGAGAATTGAATGATGTTAAGAATGAACTTGTCTGTCATGTGAAGGAAATGTTTCCAGATTGGCCTGAACCAGAACATATCGAGTGTCAGAGGTGGCAGTACTCACAGGTTATGACTCCGTACTTGGGGCAGCCTGGATGCCTAACAATAGAACAACATCCATTACTTGTTGCTGGAGGTGACAGTTTTATGTCATCACATATTGATGGTTGCATCTCATCCGCTTTTATACTTGCTGACACTGTGGGTCTAGCAATCAAAAAATCAGAACAAAATTGAAAGGACAAAGGGAGAGAATCAAAATTATTATTATTACAGGAATATAATACTTAAGGATAGTGCATTTCTTGCATCTCATTTACAGTTGGATGTGGAACAGATCACAAGACAGTAAACATGATTCATTTAATATAAGCTCATTCTTTAATAGTGTAATGTTTTGAAGCTTATGGTATAAAGTGAATAATTTTTGGGAATGAAAGGTAAAACAGAGGCCAGTGTCTCTAAAAGATTATATCTATGAATGAGATTATGTTGCTAAACCTAGGGTTCTTTATTCCAAATATGAGATATGTCATTTAACTCAGTGTGGGGGAACATTATTAAGTGACAGAAACTTGATTCATTGCTGCTCAAATCAAATATTGCCACTGAACAGAACATGGCACTGAGGTATTTTACTTCCCTAGTTAATTTTCCTCACATCTGGTTTAACATCATTGTACTCCCTCAGCTTTATGAAAGGGCCCTTTCTAATAGAATATGCATTTTTTTTTCTGCCCCCCAACCCCACCAATTTCATCTGAGCTATATGTTCAGCTGATTTATCCATGAAGTGACTATGTTAACAACACTAGGTAACAATTCATTATGTAATATTCTCCACTGCTCACTTCTGATCTCTGGTATAGAGAAGACTAACTTATGTTTCAAGAATTAATATTTTCTTATATAAGTCAATAAATACACCAGTATGAGGGCCATTCAAATATGGATTTATGAAGTGTGAGACCATCCTAGTACAGTGGGGCATGTTAGTTACATATAAGTCACTCCTGTAGGAGCACCCTGACCTAGTGTTTACTACTTGTCACAATCATGTAATTTGTTTGAAGAGATTGTGGTCAAACATGAAATAAATGTTAATAATGACATGCTTTGTATTTTAATTTCATACAGCTCTGTATTTGTAATTAGGTATGTACAATATTAATTACATTTATCCATTCCTAAAACATACCTGGATATCTGAAGTTGATTTCACAGAAACTGTCACATACATGAAAAGCTCAAGTATGAAATAAGATATAACACATTCCTTATATACACTCCTAAATTAATAAAAATATACACAAAACATACCAGTCAGAATGCAAACACAAACTTAAAAAGATGACATTTGATTGAAATTGGAACATTTACTATCTACTTAAAAGCAGCCACATGATGATGTATCAATCCAGGACAGTTTGAATTCAAAGCCATAAGAAGGTCTTCAAGGCATTTATTTTATTTGATGATGCTTTATCAACTGTATCTGTTATACAGTTAAATGAGTGGATGGTGGGAAGGAATGTCTGCATTGTCTGTCCCAATGAACTGACCAACTAGAAGTATTCGGGAAAATAATGAAAAACTTGTTAGGACAGTGTCCTATAGGCAGACATTCTGACACAAGAGCTCCTGAATATGAAGTGGGACCACAGTACCATGATGTTCAGTCCTATGTGTCTGTCTGTGAATGGTACTGGCAGGCTTGGGAACAACAAACACAAATTATGATTTGAAAATTTGTTTAAGGTTTAAATTTTCAGTTCTAGGTGCTTCTTTGGATGCTTATCCAGCTGAACAGGAAGAGATTAAGCTGTAGTTGCCACTACGTGTAATAACTCTATCATGAATGTATACAGAATGGAAGTAAAGCTCCATGCATTCTTAATATTGGAAGTGGACATCATAGTCAAGTGGTTACCACTCTTACTTTGTTTTCAGGAGGTTTCAGGTTCAAACCTCAGACTGAACAGTTACAATCCCAACTGAGATTTTTCATGGCTTTCCTGTCCCTTCAGGAAAATGTTAGGATAGGACCTTAATTTAGACCATAACTGCTTCCTTCCATATTCTTTTCAATTCATTCTATCATTCAGTGCCATATAGTTTGAACTACTGATATAATCATTAAATAAATAAGCATTGGAAGTAGGTGGAGATGAGTGGTCAATTTTATGCTCTGGCCACCGTTATCCCCGAGGATCTGGTAGCCAGTGCACAAGAGACTGGGTACGACCTACAACTTATCTGGACATGATACTGAAGAGAATCAAACCCCTTCAGCAATTGAACCTTGGATGTCCAGTCTGAACCAGGAGCTAGGTACAACAGCTATTCAACAGTATTTAGATTTCACAAAATCCAATAAAGATTATAAAATATGTGAGAATCCACAGTAACTTAACAGAGAAGGGTCATTCTCATGAAAATATGTTGCTCTGCAAATCAAGAAACTATCTGCCTTTGTGGAATGTGAAGGTTCATTACAATGTTCAGAAAAGCCCACCATTGGACACACAAATCCATCTTCACACACTATTTCTTTCATGTCCATTTTAACATTATCCCCTTTGTATATGCCCATGACTCCCAAGTGGCCTTCCTTCAGGTCTTCAGACTAAAATTTTGTGTATACATTACCATAAAAGTCTGAGGCCCAATGCAAGACTAATTCTTGCATAGCCTCTATTCTATTGTGAACATTCCAGCATTGCCATATAATGCCCAATCAAATCTCTTCTTCACCTTCCACCTAGATTGATTTAATAATTTAGAATGTCAAACATGTTACAATGTAAATGACAACCTGGTGACTTTTCCTTGCATGTGGTAATGTTAGTATCTGCCAACAGCAATAATCACACAACAGTCATCCTGGGACATTATTCAGAGACAATGTTCAGTACTATGTAAGCAAGACATCTGTATTTTAAATGGAGGTAAATGAAGCACATAACCTCAGAATTACTAGGTACAATTATGCAAAGACTCAATGTCCTGCAAGTACTGCAACCATTTAACTTCACTTTATTACAATACCTCCAAAACTTTAAAAAAGAGACAGCAATAAAAGAACAGGTAAACTTACAAAAACCTGTAAGTTTACTTTGGAACTGCACCATGAGACAAGTGTCTGAAATGACTGGAAATTTACACACTTTTACTATGTAGGAACTAACAGGTGACAATAACTATCTCCATGCTCACTACAATTCACCATGAAGATGGCTGTCTTATGCATTGTAGTTATGTGTAGTCTGGTACACAGGCTAATTTTATTCAACAGTAAGTAAAGTATTAGTCAATCATTGGATGTCTTTGCTTAGGGCAGTGGTTCCTAACTATGCTAGTAAATGCCTTGTTGGCATGTGAGGTGTTTTAGAGAATTTGTTATGAAAGAAGTTGCAGTGACAAATTTTGTGGGTACTGGCAGTATTTTTAGGTAAATTCATACAAAACAATGACAGTGTTGACACTGTGTTTTAAAGAAAATATTTTACTGTAAGTTCAGGTGTGTAGATACAGTTGTTCCTTTTCTCTTCAGAAGGGTAATAATTTGTAAAATAAATCTTTAGTAGGCAAGGTAAAGTGGGTGTCAAGAATGATAAGAAAAGACATGAAGGAGAAATTCTTGGAAAACAGTAATTTATAATGGGGATTCAGTATTCTTGCTTCAAGGAAGGAGTTCATGAGATAGTGATATTTAGAAACCACTGGCTTGGTATGATACAAATCTTACAAATATTGTGCTGAAACAGCATAGCAAATCTTGTTGGGCTGAGACTTGCAAAATTGAGAAACTGAACCACCAATGAAAATAACTTACAAAAATAATATCGTCTTATAAACACACACAGCAGAATTATTCTATGCCTGTCATTCTCACTGATCTGAAAAAAGTGTGGGGTCTGCAGATACACTTTGTGGCAGCCAAATACATTAAGAAAGCCCTACTAACAAGAACATTTTACTGAAATTACAAATCAAAACCTGGTTCCATCTCCGAGTAATTATCTTAGCAAGACAGTCAAACAGCATGGAAGCAACTTTTTTTGATAAAACTTCCAATATTTGGCAACTCTGCAATATGAAAAGAACAAAGGCTCCAACTGTTAATACAGTCTACAATAAAATTTTCTTTTTTCCATATTGGCAACTTTTTGTTCTGCTTTGGGCTTCTATAAACACTTTGAAGCTTACACTGTTTTGCAGACAAAACAAAGGCTTATGAAGCACTGTTCTATGTCAGTATAAATATGTAGATTCTCTCAACATCTTTTTGACATCATAACCTCTACTCTCCATTCTTATTATTTTCTTAACCCTCTTAGTGTCGGCCTCTAGGTGCAACATGTGCTAAGAATGCCATGCTATTTTTATTGAAATTGCAAGCATTAAAAACTTTACTTGGCACAGATTTGACGATGTTTGTCTGAAATGTTTTACAGCTTCTGACAAAGTCTTGTTGAAAGTAATTACTACAAAATGATATGTTCAATTACACTTCTCACACACAAGAATTTTTTAAGTTTATAAATTATAAAATCCAAGTTTAAATTTAGTGTCAACTTCCACACAATGAACTAACTTAAGAAGTTCTATTATAATATTGTTGCAATACATTCAGTTCAAAATGTGACTGCTGATTTTCATATTTTACAAGATAGTAAAAGCAGCTCAACATATTTTTTAAATATGCTGCACTTTCCCAATACTGAAGCCACTTATTAGACTTATGCATGTCCAATCATTCTCTACTGAAGTATCTGCATTTGCACGTGTAATAGTAGAGGTGTAAAGCTTATCTCTGAATTGAATACCACCTTATGGAACACACAGCATTTTAAAAAATTCTGTTAACATAACTCTACATACAAAAACATGTTCTGGGTAATTCATAAATTATAAAATTAATGTCACTTGGCACTGAATTTCATACACTAAACTTGTTACAGAAATTATATCAAAAGATCATACACAAAACTGGTGTTATCTAGAATAAACATCCTTCATGCCACCAGACACATACAATTGCAGTGTCTTAAACAAAAACAAATATCTAAAAACAGTTCCACTCCTTATCAATTTGGAGAAAAGGCAAACCAATTCCATGAAAATGTGTTACAAAATGTTTGCTAACATAAAATATAACTTTATGCAAAGCATTACAGATCTTACAATGTCATTCAGTCAGCTATACCTTCTCTTAATGTCTTTGGTTATAATTTTACATCACTAATTTATTTTGGACTGAAGATCATCTGATGAGAGTTTTCAAAACACCTTAAAAATCACAATGTCTAAAGGATGGATCTTCCCACATCATCATATGGGGAGACACCTATGTTGCTGGGTCTGGTAGACCAAAGGAATATCATCCTTTGAAATGGATTTTTAAGGAATTTTAAAAACTCTATTCACAGACTATGGATAAAGTTCAAAATAAAAAAAATAGCATGTCAGTAAGAGTTTTAACATGTAGTTCCTGAACTCCTTGGAGGGGGTGAAACATTTCCACGCATTGCATATGGTGGAAGCTATCTGCACATTAATAATACCACTGCATTGTTTCAGTTTTAGGAAGATGTTTACATTGCAGTCTATTTCAATTGTATAGTTCCTGAATTAATAGCTTCATTTCTTTTCACATCTGCGAAGCACCATGTGACAATTTAGCTGAGGTTATAGTGGCTATGTTAAGTGAATGTATAGAAGAGGGGAATTGGCAAATTCTGACAATGTGAACTAATTTCACTCCTCTCTTTGAGTATAGTTGGAGCCTCATTCTGACTACATTTTTAATTACTACACTGGTGATTCATTTTATTTCTATAATGACAGTCTGGGAACATTCCACTTCCTCACTTACAGTGCAAGAGTATTGGCATTAAATACGAAAACATTCATATATGGAATGCTAAATTTCATACACACTTGTAACACAATCACACACATGATCAGAAACTTCTGAAGTTACATCTTTAGCACTTGTCCTCATACGTTTTGTCACAGTCAGATTAACTCTAGAGTTCTTCATAAAGCAATATTCTACACAGAGGATTGTGTTAAAACAGGCCACAATTGCTATAAATGTGGACTACAATCTGACCACATAAAAGTAAGTTTTCTATGAAAGCATATAAGAGGAATGGAAGTAACTCAAATGTCTAATTTAAGTAAAAGATCAAGGTGAAGTGGTCAGTCACACACTCCGACCATTTTATCCCTAGGAAAAGAAACTCTCATACCCACAGATTGGAGACAGTGTGCTTTAGAGCCTGCCAGTCTGGACACAAGAAAAATGTTTATTGGTCAGGAAATAAACCATGGTTATCCACTTTGTAGCAATTACTAACATTATTATTATATAAGTGCTGGTTCTAGGTTTATTTAGTGCTTTTTAAGAGCCTAAGTTAAGAAGAACTGAGAATTATAGGATGATTTGCAATGCTGAATTGGAAAATATGTGAAAAATGGTTGTGGCCTAATTTAAGATAATATGCCTGGAGGGACACAGAAAAACTGCAAAAAAATTTAGTCAGGATAGCCAGTCTCTTGCTTGACTTTTGTACCCAGAACCTTCTGAATTTGAAGCAAGACTGCTGACCACTTGACCATGAAGTTTGGTCTGCTTTGGTTCAGTTTGTTGGTTTGATGTGAGATTTAAAATTCAAGAACAATAGACATCATCATCTTAATGTGTATGCTAATCACATGCAGCTGTCTCATTTTCATTCTTTATATTCTAATATTGTTATATGAGAGAAACAGCAATGCAGTTTAAAATGACAGCAAATGTAGGTGTATTATAACAATGATTTAAAGAAAGAGTTTGTAAAAACTTTCTGAAAGGCATTAAGAAAATGAACTCGCTTAAACAAGGTTTTCATTAAACTATGACAAGAACATCAAATATAAATGTGCCAGCAACACTCCCATTTTCTGAAGACATTTCTCATTGCAGGTTTTTAGTTTAAATTAGCATGATTTCATTTCTTAAATAATTATTTATTTTCAGTTGCAACAATGAAACACACAGGCCATACTGCCCAAAACATTTTGTATTATGTTGCAACAAAAATAATCAACTTGCAGTTTCTTTCCTTCTTTGTGTTTTGAATAACTGTTCCTTTATCAGAACCGTACGAACAGTCTGTGTGTGTATGTCCTGATTCAATTACACACATAACTATGGCAGACAACTGATAAATTTTTGTGAAACTCCATACAAACACCAAACTACTTGAGACTATCTATGCTCGTATTTTATAACATCCTGTCATCAGTGATACCAAAATGGGAGTCATAAAAACTTGTGAGGTGCAATAAACACAATTCAGTGTAGGATCTGGAAGTTTCCTATGATGGTTTACCTTAAACAAATAACCTTTATCAAGGTATCTTGTCAGGAAAACAGAAAATAACTTGGCACCTAAATGGAATACTTGATGTTATAAGGATTGTGAAGAATCACTGAAAGTTGATGTGTATAATTTGTATGGTGGCATGTGAAAAAATCTATTAACAATACGAGTGGTGCTGAAACATGAAGTTTGATTCTTTGGAAATCACCATTATTCAATAATAATAAGTCTTATTAATGCATCTTTCTGGTGCTCTGAATTATGTTCATGTATATCTGGTGTATTTTCTTGATTTCAAGGGAAGAGAAAGAAACATTTATATAACTGATAGTAAAATAACAGAGCCTCAAAGCAAACCCAAAACAAGACAATGTAATAGTTAGCAAAAGTAATGCAAACAATTGTGGCCTCCAATACTTGAATACCAGATGCTGTGTATATAAATTTATTTTGATTGTATTATTATATGTTTAAGGTTTGTATTATCCACATTTTGTGAAGAAATGCTGCATTGGACAACTCTTGAGAATCTAGTATAAAAATGTTCCTAGTGCATTCTGATTTAATATTTCTGTCATAAATAAAATGCCAAACTTTTTGCATGGGGGGATTTAAACCCCTGCCCTGGTTTTCTGCAGGACTTTGGTATGCAAAATTATATGGTTATAAAAATAATCACAACTCCTTAATTTTTATTTCTTCCCCTATTTTAGAAAAGAAATGTTGTTGCATTCATTCCCTTAAATTTCTGAGAGTCAGAAAGGATAATTCAGATGTCTGTCTGTATCCACTTCACTAGTCCATGCTATTAAAACTGACAAATTTCCATGATCATTTACTTAATAATAATAATAATAAAAAAGACAAAGAAGAAGAAGATCCCATCAGTAAACATACCAAACAAAAGACTGGCCCTTCACCTTGAAGGCTATGTAAATAGAATTCATGTAGTTCAAAGATTATATGAAGCACAAGGAAAAGTGGCTGCCTGTGTGCAATGTATGTTACTGCATGGTGCTCCATGCTGACATAATAACATTCTGTGTCGATGATGGAAGAAATAATGGAGTGAGTAATATAAAAGCACACAGTTTAGTTCAGTATTGGCCTATGTAGATTAAACCCAGCATGAATGAAATTATCAAAAGTACGCATTTTCATCATTGCAGTGCGTTATACATTTATGATATATTTTTATACCTTTTTTGCTTGAAATTTTACACAATGAACTGAATTTGCATGAGTTATTTTTCTCATTTATAGCAGCAACAAAATGCTTGTGTATACAAACCATGGCCTGTTTTGTGTGCAAATCTCATTATTCTACATGTATTGTCTAAAAAGTTATTCTAGGCATAAAATGTACAAACGTTACA